TCTGAGGAATGTACAATTAACTGTGCATTCAGACATCAGGATCTGAAGTCGTTCTTGACGCCTCCTTAGACCTAACATGGCCCTGGTCAAGCTTCCGGCTCTGCTCTTCTCTCTCGCCTGTTTCCTCCACATAAGTCTCAATCACCTGGCTGTCGGCTACAGCCAGCCTGTTTCTAGGACTTGCAGTCACAAGAAAATCATTACAGAACCCCACAGTGCAATTTTTCAATACACATTTTGTCTGTGTAGCCCTGGCTGTGCTAGAACTCACTCTGTAGGTCAGGCTGAAATTGAACTCACAGAGATCCCCCTGCCTCTGCTTCCTGAGTGCTGAGATTAAAGGTATATACCACCAACCTGGCTCAAATTTTCTATTATTAATATTTTATGTGTATGATGTTTTACCTGCATGCATGTCTGTGTGTCATATGAGTGCCTGTGCCCATGGAGGCCAGAAAAGGAAGTCAAATTCCTGTAACTGGAGTTGCAGATGGCATGAGTACCATGTGGGGGCTCAGAGTCTAACCTGGGGCCTCCAGAAATGCTAGCAGCCAGGTCTCTTAAGTGCTGAGCCATCTTTCCAGCCCCCACAGAGTATGAATTCTTAATCCATCCGATTTACAGTTTGATACATTAATCGGAGCTGAGAGCTCGACTTTTACATTGCCACTGAACTGCCACATTCCCTCAAATCTCAGTGGAACCGTTGGGCTAAATCCTATGCAAACGTACGGAGGCAAAATATCCCCTGCATCTGGAGGTACTTTCCTTGAGGGAAGAAGTATGATGTGGCACCTGCAGCCTCCCCTGTCGTGAGCGCAGCGCCTTGTTCAAGGAGCTTGTGTCACTACGTTCACAGAGTCCCCACACTGGCCCTCCACTGCCTACATCCCTGTTTCTTTTATGTTTATTAATGCAAACATTTAGAGGCTTTCTCTTCCTTGCAACTGAACCAATACCTGATGTTCTTGTCCTCACAAAAGGGCCCAGGGTGCAGGTAAAATGGCTGAGGTGAGTCCCTGATGGTTTCCAGAGAAGGGCTGGGCTGAGCCAGCAGGGCTCTCAGAGAGTGTACATGGTGGCTGGGTGAGCTGGGTCTGAACGAAGGGAATACTAAGGCCCATGGGGAGAGGGAGTGGGCAGACACTGTACCCTGTATGCAGAGATAAGTTTAAGTCCAGGGCTGTGGGACATGGCTACGGGCCAGGTCGTCAGGTGCTCGGAGCTGACAGAAGTCAATTGATCTGCCAACAACTGAGAACGCCTTGGTTATATTCTTAAGGAATCTGGTTAAGTGTTCCCTTTGGCTGCTTAGGGTTGTGATTTATAGACAGCAAAGTCACTTAGGATAATAAAACCCCCAGGCCTGATGGCAACTGCTGAGATTTTTCAAGAAGAAAGGCACCATTTAAACATCTCAATCAGTTTCTCTCTAGTGAGTGATATCCGGGAGAAACAGGCTTCAAATATGTCTCCATCATTCACACGGTCAAGAAGAAAGATGAGAGAAATTGAGAAAAAATACTAGAAGGGCTGCATTCATCTAATATCTGATGTTAGGAGAGTCTTATAGCAGATTTGTAAGAACTACAACTCCCAGAAGGCAGGGATCCACAATTCCCTTCTTCCTTATAGGAGAGCCTTGTAGCAGTTTCTAAGACCAACAACTCTGCACAGACAGGGTCCATGGTTGTCTTCTTCCTCATTTCTAAAAGATCTTGATTGACTGAGAAAGTTTGGCTTGAATATAAACTGGTGTTTCAGGCCAGCCTGGGCTGTGTAGCAGACCAAAAGAAAAGGAAAACTGTGTGTGTGGTGGCACACACCTTTAATCCCAGCACTCGAGAGGCGGAGGCAGGCAGATCTCTGTGAGTTCGAGGCCAGCCAGGTCTACAGAAGAGTTCCAGGACAGCTAGAGCTACATAGTGAGACCTGTCTCAAAAAAAATCAAAATTAGAAGAAGGAGGAGAAAGAAAAGGGCGGGGGGTTGGAAGGAAGAGCAGAGGAAAAGTTGAGGGCAAAGGAGGAGACAAAGAAAAGAAAGACGGGAGGATGGGAAGAGGAGAGGGAAAGAAGAAAGAGAGGGAGGGAGGGGAGGAGGAAGGGAGGGTGCAGGAGAGGGAAAGGGGAGGAAACAAAGGGAAGGGGAGGGGGAGGGAGAGCCCATTCGAATGAATGTATCTATCCTGTAACAGGAATATGTGTCATTTTAAAATAGCTTATCTTCTAAACACTGCACCCAGCCAGGATATGGCCTTTCTGTTCAACGTCTTTTCTTTTTAAGTGAATAACATCCTAAACTCTGAACATAACCTTTGTCTGTAGAAGCACCATGGTGACAATGACCGGGCCTCAAAGTAGCCTCGTTCCCCTGGGTCACAGCAGGGCAGGCACACACTCAGTCACAAAGGCTCCACACTTGAAAGCAAGGATTTAAGACAGAAACCAGTTGTCTCCTATGTCTACAAAGCATCAAAAATCATAAACAATGTTCTGGAATTGGAAACAAGGAAATAAAACAGGTGGTCCATTTTTAGGCGGCAGCACTCTCCAATTTAAAAAAAAATGTTTGCACAAACATGAGATCTTCATAGAAATAAAGACCGGTTACAATGGTTTATTTCCTGTGCCTCAGTTAAGGAGTGCCCAAATAGCTAGAAATAGCTGGTCACATGTTATCCGTGGACATAGATGTGGGTGTAGGGATGTCTCCAGAAGACATGAGCACCGGGAACTCCCTGCTTCTACTGTGCGCTCTACTGGAGGTTCTGCGAGTTAAACCCAGGTTCTCGGGTTTGCACACTGAGCCCTCTTGCTGGCCGGAGATGAGGAACTGACTCGAAATCTGACTTCAGACAGAGTTCCTTGCCCTTACAAATGTGGCCTGAGCCACCCAGTGCAGGCCTGGATGGCCGGAAGGTGAGGAGGGCCCGGTCTGTTCTCCACCTGTTGATGTTCACCTGCCCCCAAACACCCACACTCCTGCCCTTCACACTCAGCCTGGAGCTGTCCCAGGCCTCAGGCTTCGGCTTGGACTGGAGCTGTAACCACTAGGCTTCCTAGGCCTTCGTCTTACAGACATCTGCTCAGCCTCCGCAGTCACGTGATCTGACCTGGTCCCCTGTGATAGATCTCTACATAGCCATGTGTCGGCCTTATTTCTCTGAAGAATGCTGACTAATACACCAGCCAAAAGGAAACTGACGGCTGCTTCTTTAGTGCTTGTGTGGGAGTCAGCCTGGATCCCTTTCATTTGGCAGACACTCAAAGGCAGGCAGAGGAGTTAGAAATCTTTCAAGAGGAAGAGGGAACGGTTCAGAGAGGCCCTGGCTGGAGACCTTCTGCACAGGAAACAGCAAGCAGGTTGATGAAGCAAGACATCTGCTGACCCTGGATAGGGGGGCATATTTTGATTTCTCTGGTTGATCCAACCTTGAAGGAGAGACAAACTTAGGGAAGACATTGGTTACTGATCGTGTCCTGAGCATTTTGTGTCAACTGTTACAGAAACGACTGTTCGGATTGGCCCTGGTCTGGTGTCTCGCAAGTCTGACGCACAGCAGTCTGGCGTCCTGTGCTGTGTCTTGTAGAAGGGAAAGGTTCGGAGATGCAGGCCGTGGCTCGGAGCTCTGCTGTCTTACATGCTCGGACGGTTGTTTGTGTGCAAAGTCTACGTCCCATCTTTCAGAGAGGCAGCTGTCTCCTAACCCTAACCTCTGACCAGCAAGGAAGGTACCAGCATATCTAGAGAACCATTTTGGGAGACAGCTAATTGTCATAGGCCACCTTGTTCCGAGTGCCTGTGGATGTACCTGTGCAAACCAGCACACGCCCCTAGCCCTGCGCCATGACGGCAAGGGAGGCAGGGATGGTTACGGCAGGGGAGAGCTCTAAGGGAAAAGGGAGGGGGGGGAGACTGCGGTTCTCAGCCAAGGCTTCCAGCCTGGGGGCGGCTCTGAACACAAGCTGATGCTGCAGAGCCCCCCCACGCACCCACCGTCCCACCCCTTGTCTTACAGAATCTGCTGTAACAAAGCAAGGCTGAGCATCAGGATCCCCCAGCTTCCCACGTGATGCTAGGATGCAGCACGGGTTGGCAGCTCATGACCAACATGAATAATGACCTTAGAGACACACCACGGGAGCATTGAGCAATTAGTGACAAGGAAACCAGGGCAGGTAGCCAGGAAGCCTCTGACCCTTCAGGCCTACAATGTAGAGCTTTAGAAATATGAAATGAGTGTGAAGCTAAACCAGAATAGCAAATAGGTGGAGGTCACGGTGTGTGAGGGACTCAAGGGGCAAAACCAGAAAGCTGCAGCATCCGTGTGGGTGGGAGAAACGAATGGATGTGCTTAGAACACATTCAGGCCGGATGCATCCCAGCGAGGAGAGGGGGACGCAGTCTCCCATCCCCTCCCCTACCCATGGAGCTATTTACAGCTGACCCTGCTGGCAAAGGGAGAATCAGTTTTCCCCCATAGAGACAGAGTGTCACCGGTTTATCAGTCACACTCCAAGGCCAGTCTTGTGCCCAGGAGTAGTTGGCCAACACAAAACAAACTCCGGCAGTTTTGTTTGGGGTTTCTGTTTTGGTCTGTTTTGTCTAGGTATTTTTTTTGTCTTGTTGGGTTTTGTTTTTCATTTTCAAGTTTTCATGAGTTTATTTTATTTTTGAGAGAGAGAGAAAACAAGTAAAGTTGTATGGGTAGGGGAGTGAGGAGGACCTTGGGGGAAGTGAGGAATCAAATGTGTAGTACGTGAGATATTTTAATGACTCTACCAAGGACAAGATATCTCCTTGCTGAGATGCAGCCTTTGTTTTTGTTTTTAACCATTAAAAATGTTATCTTTTCATGTTAAAACTACCATTTATCATCAGTTTCCCATGTGATGCAGTGTTTTTTGATGTAAGCACATGCATATCCTGTCTACTTTAAATAAAATTCAGAATAATTGAATCTGAGCAATAGAAATGCTAAAGTACGTGTACACACACACACACACACACACACACTTTATTTCTTGTCATTTCTAAATTTCCAGTTTAGTTTACTTGAGTTTGATACAACATCACCCCCTGGTGGACGTTAATGGAAATGAATCTGAACCTGCTTGATTTAACAAGACTTAGCCCATCAAAACCTCTGGAGCCTCAGCATAGCTCTCTCTTCAAACAAAATCACATGCAAAACCTCAACAGAAGAGTGAAAATGAGCTATGCTGGTAACCTTCTCTTCTCTACATTTTGGAATAATTTTTAAAGATTTATTTAATATATATGTCTGTGTCTATGTGTATGTGGTTGAGTGTGTGTGTGTGTGTGTGTGTGTGTGTGTGTGTGTGTGTGTGGTGTTTTGAATAGGAATGCCCCCCTCGTAGGCTTATATGTTTGAATGTTTGGTCATCAGGGAGAGGCACTATCTGGGAGGACCTGGGAGGTGTGGCTTGTTGAGGTGGGTGTGGCTTGTTGGAGGAAGTGTGGGATGGCCCAGTGGCTCTCTCTTCCTGCCGTCTATAGATTCAGATGTAGAACTCTGAGCTTCACCAGCACCATGTCTGTCTGCATGCTGCCATGCATTCCTCCATGAAGATAATGAACTAAATCTCTGAAACTGTAAGCCATCCCCCATTAAATGCTTTTCTTTATGAGTGTTGCGGTTGCCATGCGCAGAACACTGACTAGGGTGTGTGTGTAACTACACACCAGAAGAGGGTGCTGGACCCCCTGAAACTGTAGTTATATGAGGTTGTCAGCAATCTTAACTGCTGAGCCATCTTTCCTGCCTTGTCCCTGTATTTATGGCCAAACCCACACCTCCCCAAAATACCTTCAAGATACAGTTTGTTATTCAGAAACAAACGGCACCTCCCTCCAGAATTAGATGACATCAGATTGCTTCTCTCAGTGAGTGGGTACATCTCCCAAGCCGAAAGCACTCCCGAGGGTCCTCAATGCACAGGAGCAGGCTAAAGGTTCCAAATAGACTAAGTTAGGGAATCACACTAAATTATTCAACTCAGAAACTCTCAAACTATTTTATCACAAGACACAGTCCTTTCCTCCCCAAAACGTCTTAACACGAAGCCTACTTTGTACTGTATGTCATTTAAAATGGCAGTTCCATCTCCACTAACAAATTGGCTCTTTGGTTGCCTAGACTACTCAATCTTCAACGACGCTCATTCACTGTGTTGTCAGCCAGCTCTCAATCATTTGTGGTAATGGAATAAGCAGCCTAGGTGACTGCCATGGTAAATCCCTAATGTCAGCTTGATAAGATGGGGGATGGCTTGGGTGAGTACTAAAACACCCCTTTGGGTGCGGCTGAGGGTAGACGTGGATGACCTAATCAGTGACTTAATCCGTTGATAAATCCAAGAATTGAATGAACTATAGGAGAATGAACTGCAGGAGGTGGGGGCTGGATGGAGGGCGTAGGTAACCAGCAGTGAGGGTGGAGGCTGTATCCGGCCCTCATCGTCCCTGCCGCCTCTCCACTCTGCTTTCCGGCAGGCATAAGCGGAACAGCTTTGTCTCCCTTGCATGATGGACTGAAACAGTGAGAAACTGATTCTTGAGGTTGTCTGTGTTAGGTGTCTCATCCCAGAAACAACAAAACATGCACAGTGACAGACAGTTGCTCTACACTGGTGCCACTTTCGTAGGCAACTCCATCTCCATCGTCAACTCTCACCACCAGCTGAGGGGAGGAAGCGGCCGCCGCCTGCGCTGTCAATGGCCATGCTTTGCCTTCGCTTAAATACAGGAGGTCTGCACAGTGTGGTCTTATCTAGAGGGATGGTAACACTTGCTTGGTTGACTCTATGACCCAAGAGGATGACGCAGAGCTCTACAACTGACAGGGATCAAACGTGTTCCCCACACATCGTCTCCTCTTACGAGTTTATGAGCTAAAGACACAAAAGCCCTATCACTTATATCATCCATGTATTAGCGTTAGATCCTCCCCAAATGTTATCCTGTATAACAAGTATTTTTTAATAACATATTTTGACAAAAATAGGAGCTGTGTCCTGTGTCAATAGTGGCAAGCTTTCTAAGTCTGCTGATATGTGTTGCGTGATTTCTAATTTTTAAAAGAAGTTCAGATTCAACTTTCAAGCAGTGGAAATATTATGAGGCTGAGTTAACGACCTTAAACTGTGCTTTGATCAATACCACCTGGTGTGATCTGCTGTCCTTTGATATCAGCTACATCTTTGACATAGTAGCTGGGGTCCTGAGGGTATGGATGCATTCCATCACCAGCCTGGTGGCTTCCAAAGCAGAGCCCCAGTGCACTGAGATGCCCCCACTCCCATGGCCATAATTGTGGACCACAGGCAGCCTCTGTCCTCCTCGGACAAGGATCTCCTTCTGCAGACGCACACCTGGCCGGCTGGGCCTCAGACCCACTTTCTCTTCTATGTTGTAGGCTCTGTGGAGGGAGGGCTCAAGAGCACAACATCGAGAAAAGATCTCTCTGCTGAGTCCCGCATCTGGGGACAGATTCCAGTCTCCCTTCTGTCTGGTTCCTCCCAGGATTACATAGGATGTACCAGGGTAGACATACGTCAGGCCACTCCCATCTCGGATGAAATGCTTCACCCAGGGGGCCTGTGCCCGGAGCACTTGGCCCCTTACAGGGGAAATCACGGAGTCTCCCACAAGTTGTCTGCTTCCCAGGCCTGAGCAATTGACCACGATGTCGAAGGATGGCTGCAGTTCCCACAGGTCCTCTATCCTCCTGGTGAGTAGCACACCTCCACCTTCCTTTATCCTGGGAAAGAAAGACTGGGGTGAGCTCAGCCACCTCTCACCCACTTCCTAGAAGTGAAGGACAGGACCACAGCAGCAACGACAAAGCAGCAAGCTCTGGGGAGCTTCCAGGACTCGGGCATCACAGTCTAGCTCCATCCTTGGCCAATGGAGACTCTTGAGGCTAGTCCTAAATGAAAACCTATTTTGGAAATTCAAAACAAAGAAAATCACATATCTTTCTCTTAAAACATTTTGCAGAGAGTTCCTATGTTGAGATGCAAAATAAATACCAAATCAATCGATCTGTGCTCCAAACACTCAAGCTCTTCTTGTTCAGACACTACTGCCTCCACACCAGTCACATGGTAATTCTTACATACGCCTTCGTATTAGTTTACTCTAGTAGATGCTTTCACTCTCTGTCCCTGTCCCTCCTCTCTCTCTCTCTCTCTCTCTCTCTCTCTCTCTCTCTCTCTCTCTCTCTCTGTGTGTGTGTGTCTCTGTGTCTCTGTGTCTCTCTGTCTCTCTCTCTCTCTCTCTGAGAATGTTTTCACAAAAGGAACAAAATATCCAGCTGATGAAATAAATGACAGCCATTTTTTGAACCAAATAGTTTAATGATGAGAAGGGATGGCTTATAAAGCCTTGTAATCGTTGTTGAATTGTAGGACAATATACACAGCATAAAACCTTACCACTTGGGCCATTTTTAAGTGCACAGCTCAGGGGCAATGTGTAAGTGGCATGTGTCAGCTTACATTGTTGTACAAACATAACCGCCACCCATCCCAGCAACTCTTTTCATCTTGAATGTGGAAATTCTATAACCATTAAAAATAATAATAAATTCCCCAGTAATCTTGTCATCTTAATCCCTTGTAATCCTATAATCTTATTCCTAGGCTCCTTATAGGATACAGGGGATTTAATATAAAAGACTTTGGCAGTTTTGTCCAACAGATGCAGGTTGGTGATCTAGAAGCAATACATTGCTGAGAGGGAAAAATATTGTGAGACATAGTGCCCACCCTCGAGGGCCAGAAAAAGAACTGAGAGACAGTGTAGACAGCTGGCAGTGTGAGGGTTTAACATACGGATACAGATATGTGTGTGCACGTACACACACACACACAAACGCACGCACATAAGCACGCACGTACACACGCACGCACGCACAATTGGTTCCATCTCAGGGGAACTCTGGAAAATAAAGTGGTACCCCAGATGCGTCTGTTCCCCTGTCTGTTCTTGCTCAAACACATTCCAGAGAGAATATGGGGAAGACAAGACTGAGAGCAGAAACAGAGGTTTGGGTGCCTGTGCCCACCCCACCTCCGAGAGAGCAGAGGTGCGCGTGCTAACTCACCACCCTCCCCTTCCATGCCGGATGAACAAAGGTCTCATGAGAAGGAAGACACAGGAAAAGTCTAGACAGAGCGTGATGCCAGAAGAAATGATGGCAAAGTTTCACCTCTGATTTTTAGCTCAACAAGGAAAGACGCTGACATTCTACTCCTTCTAGCTGGAAAGTTCAACTGAAACTCGCATTGAGATCTGGAAGGAACTGGCCTTTTGACACTGTCCCCAGTTCTAGAAAATGCCACAAGTAGAGGAAAGTAACAAGTGAACAGCATGGCCGCTCCCAGCATCACAGGCCCCAACAGCAGCTCAGCTTTTGTGAGCAGAGCTTTGTCTTCTCCGCAGCAACTCCGCGGATGGTGAATGACAGTCAGAGCCTCATCCGCTTACTCTCCACACCCCTCCCACTGGCGGGACCACTCCCACAGCACCACTGAGCAATTGAAGGACAGCCAGAAGCCTCTGGGTTGGATTCATGTATTTATATTAAATATTTGCAGAGGGCCCAGCTGTGCTAAGTCCGCAATAATTTGAACCTGGGGCGTACTTTCCATTCAGTCCAAGATGTTGTTTTAAGCACTAAATATTGCCCTATGTATCCTTGCTTGTTCTTCAGAAAACCAATAGAAGACTGTGGCGTTTACCTGCGCAAGAAAACCCAAAGACACTGGCGAGCATCTAGCCGGGGTCACAAACAACCAATGAAAACGTCTGTGTGGCAGAGTGACTGAAAGCAGAGAGAATGACAGTTTCCACTCTCTCCACGGAACAATTTGGAAACTGAGGTTATGTTTGTTGGGTGTGCACTAACGAACAGTGTTTTCAAAGTGAGGTAATTCTCTCAGGCCAAACATTGCTGAAAGAAGAGGGACTTGGTGTCTTGTGGCAACGCTAACCAGCACTCTGTACCGTGTCTGTGCTGCTTAAGAAATAAACACCAACACCACAGAAAGATGGAGTGAAAAGAACATACGAGCCAGAAGGTGGGGAGGAGTGCTGAGGGGAGGAAGGGTCTACTGGACGTTATACAACTGTAGCGATCAAAAGCCCCCAGCAGCTGTTGTGAGCTGCACAAGCCTGGACCCATCAACATTTCACCAGGGATGGGGAGGGCTCAGGAGACCCCACACTTCCCTTGGTAGCTGCTGGAGGAAGACGTATCGTTTATTTCAGTGGTGCAGCACTGATAATTTCCCCGTGTTCTATTAAGTAAATAATCCCCCAACCGGGTTCTGCAAATAACCCTAATTAAATGCAATGGGTTGCAAGAATAGAAAAAGGGAAATACACGAAAGTAGGACAGGAGCTGTCTGGAAGAAGGGTGTGCTGTTGAGGTTTTGTTTCTAGTTTCTTCGACTTGACCCAAGTTAGAGTTATCTGAAAAGTGAGAACCTCACTTGAGAAAAAGCCCCCATCAGATTGGCCAATAGGCAAGCCTGTGGAGCTTTTTCTTGAGTGATAACTGGCATGGGAGTGTCCAGCCCACTGTGGTTGAGGCCATCCCTGAGCAGGTGGTCCTGGGTTCTAGAAGAAAGCAGACTGAGCAAGCCTGGGGAGCGAGCCAGTGAACAGCTCCTCTCCATGCCCTCTGTATCAGCTCCTGCCTCCGGGTTCCTGCCCTACTTGAGTTCCAGTCCAGACTTTCCTTCATGATAGACTGTGGTCTGAACATGTAAGCCAGAAAAACCATTTCCTCCCCCAAGTTGCTTTGGTCTGTTTTACCAGAGCTATAGAAAACAAATAGGACAAAGGGTTTCAACAGAGAGGGAGGGAGATGAGAGAGGGTAATGGGGCTGAAAACAACTAAAATCATTATATACACACGTGAAACTGCAGAGGAATTAAAGAAAGCAAGTTCCAAGGAAAGACTTTTGGGAAGTAGGACCATCTACCCCTCACTTCCGCTACAACCTTGTCACGCTAGAAAACTCTAAGTTCCAGCTTTCCCTTCCTCCATATTGCTCCCAGACTGCCCTCATCAGCTTGTTGTGGAAATGAAAGGGGACAACATCTGGACCAGGGCTGACAAATGTGTTACCTACCACAGCTGCAGTTGCTCAGTCAGAGCTTTGCTAGAAAAATAAGACAGATCAAGGGCTTGTCACACTGCTATAGAACACAAGCCCTGCTATGTGGCCTATGGGTAGCCTGCTCCACAGCTGCGTGTCACTTACATTTAACTATGGCCACTTAGACTCTTTAAAGGTTTTAAGTGGCTCTTCTTTTGAACACTGTCTTGGTTTTGTTTTTCTTTGAATAGACTGTAGGTTCCATGCACAAATCTTTGAACATTATATCCTGGGCTCAGCCATTCTAATCAGAACTCAGGGTTATTTTTTCTAATTCAGGGAAATAAGTGAACTTACCAATCATAGGATTTATGCAAATTTCTTCAATTCACTGAACTTGTTTCCCTAACTATAGCCTAGGGATAAGAGTGTGCCGAGCTCAAAGATCAGTTAGGTCTTTCGTGAGAATTTAATGAATGCAAATGTCCTTCTTTTCTGTTTCAAACGCTGGGAGCTGTCACTGGAGATGATCTACCAGGCTTTCAGAAGGCCCAGCCAGACTTGCCGGGTTCCTCTTAGACCTCTTTCCCAGGAAGAAACCCGCTGCACACGCCCAGAGCCAGGTCACCATGCGTTGTTCCAATGTGAGTGAGCATGTGGTGCTACACACCCATCGCTATGTATCTCAGGCATGTACATCATGAGCTGACACCAGTGTAGAGGAAGGCACTGCATCCAGAAGCCAGATACTAACTTAAATGACCAGAAGCCAAGAAGTCACTTTTACAACCGCATGAAGTTGCTATTACAGCAGTTGGGGAGAACAACTAGGGATAGAAAATGCTCCATCATTTTCCTCTGGAGATTCTGGCAGGGAGTGAGACCCCATTTTGCAAGGAGAGCGTCCCACAGCCCCATAATCCATGAGGAAAAGGGAGCTCCATTAACTAAGAGCATTTACAGGAACGAAGGGCTCTGCTGGAGAAATACCACAGTGAGGACTGGCAGAAGGGAGCAGGGACCTTTGGGTAGGGGCCAAGACAGAAAGGAGGGTATCGTGGATATGTTAAGCTATACAAAGTAGGGATGTCATATGATATTTTATTGAGGGTGAAGTCACTTGCATGAGAAGCCAAGAAAGTCAAGAACCAAAGGTCCACGCACTGCTCTCTAAGACTTGACAGGAACCCAAAGGAGCCGTTTGGGCGCGGTCAGTGCTTTGGGTAGGTAAGATCTCTCCCTACAGGAGGGTACAGCCTAGGGAAGAGGCCGGATCAACTCACTGAAACAGGTTATAATGGTTTTATAGGAACTTAATGAATAGAAAATGAGGAACAATAGACATTTTAATCACTTAAAATTCAGGCAGTTTCTAAGCTGCCAATCACTCCTTTGAGACAGAGTATACCTTAGTTTAAGAATGTTATCCAAATAACCCTCTGCATTGCAACGCTATAAAGTGAAAACTCCCACTGCAGATGCATGTCTGCTCTGGAGAGGAGGTAAAAGACATGGGGCTACACCTCTGCAGACTAAATGGTCCAGAAACTTCTGTGCCTTGGCCAGTAGGAAGGAGATTGGTACTGGGCCCATGCTCAAGCTGGCATCTGAAGCCTCTGAGCATCCTCCTGGGAGGGTGTGGGTACCAATCCAAAAACATGAAGGAGACCAGAGGCAGAGCAGGACTGCCTGGAGTTGGGGTTCAGAGCTGAATGCAGTCATCCCCACAGGAGTGAAAATAATCTAGAGACATTTGAGCCTCTCATTTTAGCTATCAAACAAATGAAAACTGAACCCCAAGAAATTGAGATATCCCCAGGAATCTCACTCCAGGAGAAGACTGAGACCCTGGTGTCTGATGAGAGGGGGTCTCCTGGAAGGAGATTTTTTGCAGCCCTGGCTTGTTAGCCCACCTTGCAACAAAGACTAGAGGTGAGCAGAGTGGAGACCCCACCTTGAGCAGAGCTATTCCGCTGTATGTACCTTTGGCCTTCTCTTTAAACCCAAACCGAATTCTAGCACGCTGAAGGTGGATATGGTTCTGGGGGTGAACTCTTTGATTTTCTCCACAATGTGGCTACACTGAATAATGCTCCTTTTTCTGCTCTTCACTGTCACCTGTGTGTTTAATTGGCTTATGGAGGACGGGCCAAACCTGGTTTATTGGGGCCAGCTACCAGGAGCTCTGATCCTAACAACTCCGGTATCTGAAGGAAGACATCTCTCTTGGTATGGAGTCAGCTCTCCTCTCACCTTAGAATGAAGAGAGGTGACTCTGGGGGGTTCTCCAAAGTTAATCAGAATGAGTTTTCAGTCACCACCTGGAAAGGGGTTGGAGTGAGAGATGTGGAAGCCACATTGAAGATGAAGCGTGTGTGAAATGAAGAGAGGTAGGCATGGCCAGGACTGGGAAAAGACAGAAAGTTCATTAGAGAAGATATCAGAGTTGTTATATATGCATTGTTAGCCAGCTCTCGAACTGAATCCCTGCTCTCAACTCGAGGAATGGCGCCTCGTCACCAGAGATAAAAATCAGCTATGCTCAGTCAATTTGTTCAAAAACAAGAAGAAAAAGAAGGCTCTTTTAAATTTCAGTAGGCAAGTCATGAGTAAGGATTCACTGGGGAAATCCAGCTCCTTCATGACACGCTCCTGTCGCCATGCCCAACACATGTTCCCATAGTGAGAGCTTTAAAATGGATTTTAGGTTTTACAAAGCTGCCACATGCATACAGTCTAATTCTTCCCTGACATTTCTTGTCTGCTGACTGCTGACCTGGCTAACGTCCTCACAATGAACTACGTGCTATTGCACACTTGTCTGAGTGTCCACCCCAGCCTGGTCTTACTCCATGAATACATACGAATCACTCCAGGCTACACCAGGCGTCATGTGTAAACCAGCCTCTGTGCCCTTGGAGGAGGGGATATAGGTGTGGTCCAGGGCTTCCTCACATGGTGGTGACCTCCAAGCATAAAATTACTTCATTGCTACGTCATAACTGTAATTTTGCTACTGTTAGGAATTGTAATGTATATATCTGATATGCAGGATATCTGATATGTAACACCCCCCCCAAGGAGGCGGTGACCCACAGGCTGAGAAACACTGCCCTAAGGGATATTTCAGAGGAGAGGCTATGTTCCCATAGTTCCTCTGTGTTAGACAGGAGGAGAAAGAGTCTCCCCCACACAAGAAAAGGCCCTTGCAAGTTGGACAGGCATAAACTGGAAGAGCCTGCCCCCTGGGTGATGTGCGATGCAGGTGTGTATTTCTGTATAACTCCCCAGGAAACAAGAGTCAGGCAGATGGGAGAAAGAACACGAGAAATATGAGCAAAACTGGGGTGCAAGGCCTGTCAAGGAAAAGCAACAGAGATGCCTATCAGCGTGGGCAGGGAGGTCCGTGCCGGGTTCCGAGGAGGCTACCTCAGAGCCATGGCATCCTGGAGAGAAATCAGCCCTTCTAAATTATAGGTCTCCAGCACTGAGAGTGACCACCAGACTTTCTAGATGTCACCAAATGCAGGGTGGCTCTGACCCCTTCAGGATAATTTATTTGGGTAGGGTGCCTAGCAAAAGAATTATTGCCTCTATGATTCATTTCCTGTGGTAGCAAGCAAAAACACAGCCAAGCGGGTGACTTTACTGTCCCAAGATATAAAATATTCCCTGCACGAGTGATTAAGCCTCTGAGGGCTTCTGTGTGTTGGGTTGTTATAGACATTATGGGCAATGTTTGAGAAGGAGATGATCTTTTCTGTTCTTGGGGAAAATTTAACAGTCTAAGTTATAATAAAATAATGTAATTTCCCTGGGTTGATGTAACATCCTGGCAGGCGCTGAGGCTGCAGCCATTGCTACACGGCATGCTGGGAGGAATGTTCTCTTCTGAATGAGGACACAGAAGGCTGAGTATTCACACTGGGGAAGAGACGGAGGCGGCAGCAGAACAGGCCCAAGCGTAAGGAACAGCAGGGACTGTGCGGCTGCCCATCTGGGGCTTCCCGGCCCACAGAGTGAACCCCAGATGTCTTATTCCTTCACAGCGACACCGCCCTGCCTCCCACCAGCCTGCAGGGCTCCTCCTGGGCCGCAATGAGGCCCTGTCCCTGCTCCAGCAAGCCTTCCATAGAAGAGAAGGGGCCAGGTAGACTTTGTCATCCACCATATTGGCCATCTGGCCAGATGACAGGGTCATTTCGTAGATTAAAAACAAAACAAAAAGAAGACCAAATTTCAGAAGACCTCTGGTCCCAGATAAGAGTGATGGACCCGGTACCCAGATTTGGGGATTGGCAGGGCTTATGTTTTACGAGTCCCCCACCTCAGGCACTGGATAAGCAAACCAGCAAGAGATGCATTGACGTGTGTCAAGTGAAAACACCCTTGCTGTGGATCCTGAAATACTAAGACCAGAGAGTGCTGAAAACCAAGTCAGAAGGGAAGCAATCACATATTTCAGATAAGCCCTCAATTTTAATGTTCTTACTCAGAACCAAATTAGTAATCATCATCATAATCATAATAATGAAGCTATTTTTTACTGAAAAAAATTAAAACTAATTTATGGTAAACATAGGATTTTCTCTTCCAAAGAAATTAAGTTATAAATATACTATTTGAATGACTCTATTTTCTGCATGTGGAAACTAAGACTTCAGTACCTGGCTTTTCTCTGAGGGAATGGGGACAAAGGAGGCACCAAGTTACCCTGAGTGTGATACGCTCTCCAGAGGCTTCCACAACCTGGAGAGTACGAGAGAGCCCTGAGAAGCCAGGAGAGCTGGCCGTGTGCCTTATGAACAGCTAGGCAATGATTTATCACCATGTCAAACAGGAGAAAACAAGGACATTTCAACCAACCTTCTCTCCAGCCATGGGAGGTAGGCGGAAGTCTCACACTTCAGAGTTGTAAAAGCATGACCAAAGACGTATTGAGGGAATCGCTTCAGCTCGGCCTCTGTCATCTTCCGAAACCCCAGAACGACATCAGCCCAGAAAGGCACCTCTTCCTGGGGGACACTCCGGAACACCTGCCAACTGAAGCAGAGGAAGTCAGAGGGGCCTTTAAAGTTTGTGGAATCGTGTGTTTTTCATAAGCGTTTAAAACTTCGCTTCCTGTAAACTCAGAGGAAGCGGTCGATTCTTCCATCCTCTAGGCCTCAGGTAACTGAGTAGCCGAGTTCAGATGTGCACGGCTGAAGGAATCAGACATCTGTAAGGAAGTCACAGGGCTGGCGGGTCACGCAGAGGTGGGCTCCCAGCTGGCAGGCACCAGCTCAGGTTTGTAACCCCAGCACGACAAACAATAAACATCATGCCTTCTCACATCTTCAATTTCATTAATTTTCTTCTGAAATGGCTTTGTCATGATTTCCTTTTTAGCATATTCACTACGTGTTTTATCTAAATAAATAGATTTAATTGATTTTTCTGAAATGGTTTTACCATGATTTCCTATTTACACACATGACTGCATATTTTAGAGGAAATTTTGTAACGCGTTGCGCCACACTTCCTATAAAGAAGGAAATGAAACTAAAAGAAATTCAAATGTTAGCCTTGGTTTTGAACATGATATTTTAATTGGTAGGACTTTGTTCATTTGTTTTTGTTTTTGAGACAGGGTCTCACTACGTATCTTTGGCTGTCCTGGAACTCACTATATAACCCAGGCTGACCTTCAACTCATGGTGATCCTCCTGCCTCAGCCTCCTGAGTACATTCCCCACAGGTCTCAACCACTTGAGGAAAAAACTGTACCTATCTTTGGTAAAATTCACTTAATACATATTTATAATCATTTACTATATGTGGAAGTCTTCATTGCCATATCCCTAAAACCTAGAAGACTAGTATAGAGAGTGCTACCAAAATTCTTTTTGAAGAAATGAGGATTAAAGTTATATCAAATATACACAAGAAATTTATAAAGCCTTAATTTTTGAAATGACAGAATATTGGAACATGTCTGTTTCTAAAAAAAATTACTTAGAGACAAGGTTGATGAATTCCTTTTGGTTTTGGAATAGGTTCAGCATGACTATAGCATGGTGAATAATACCATGCTTCCATATGACTCAGCAACTAACGTTGGGGAGACAGAATAGGCCCTGACATTATAAAGAATAAGTCCACAGCTTGATGGTTAAGCAGAACCTGCTTCTTTGAATAGGGGCTTTGGAAAAGTGAGGATATCATCACCCATCCTAGTGATTATATGGTGAGGGAAGGCGTCTTAGTTAGTGTTTCTATTGCTGTGAAGAAACAACATGGTCATGGCAACTCTTACAAAGGAAACATTTGATTGAGGCTGGCTTACAGTTCCACAGGTTTAGTCCATTATCATCATGGTAGAAAGCATGGCAACGTACAGGCAGACATGGTGCTGGAGAAGGAGCTGAGAGTTCTACATCCAGACCCTCAGGCAGAAGGAAGAGAGAGGCACACTAGGCCTGGCTTGGGCTTCTGAAACCTCAAAGCTCACCCCACTTCCTCCCACAAGGCCACACCTACTCCATAAGGCCACACCCCCAAATAGTGCCACTCCCCAAGGGCCTTTGGGGCCATTTTCATTCAAACCACAGAAGGCAAGAAGAGAAAGGGCAGACCCCTACTGCTGTAAATAAGCACTTAGAAGAGGTGTCCATCGCCTGGAGCTTCCTTCTGCTGCTGCTTTGTGAAAAATGAGTGTTTCCTCACTTATTATACTTGTATGCATGCGTGCTGCATGCCTTTATACACACTGCCTTTATGCAAGAGCCCACGGAGACCAGAGCGGACACCAGATCTCCTGGAACTAGAGTCATAGGAAGTTATGAGGTTTGGGAAGCTGAACCCAGGTCCTCTGTGAGAACTGAAAACGTTCTTTTTGTTTTGTTTTGTTTTGTTTTGTTTTGTTTTTACGAGACAGAGCTTCTCTATATTGTTTTGGAGGCTATCGGTCCAGCCCAGCCTCGAATTCACAGAGATCCGCCTGCCTCTGCCTCCCGAGTGCTGGGATTAAAGGCGTGCACCGCCACCACCCGGCCAGAAAACGTTCTTAACCACCGAGCCATCTCTGCAGTTCCAAGACAGATACTTTTTAAATAGTCTTGGTGGCACATAGACAGAGCAGCAGTTGGAAACATCCTAAAAGGTAGGTGTCCATCTGCTCTTCAGAAGGCTGTGTTAGCACACAGGACAGCACGTCTGTTGTTGTTTGATGATGATGAAATCTGAAGACACTAAAACACTTAGTAACCTCTACTTAAGAGGATATAGGATGCAATTATCATGTTTTAAGTGCTGTCTGTGTTAGAGATATTAAATCGAGTTGTGGGGGACTTGGAGAGATGACTCAGCAGTTAAGAGCACTGAAAGCTCTTTGAGAGGACTCAGGTGCAATCCCCAGCACCCACATGGCAGCTCCCAGTTGTCTGTAACTCCCGTTCCAAGGGATCTGATTCCTTCATACAGACACTGCAGGCAAACACCAATGTATATAAAAATAAAACAAATTATTTTTAAAAAGAAAAGTTAAATGAGGCTTATTCTCAAAACCTCACTTGAGTATGCATTTCCTCTAACCCAGATATTAACAATCAAACAGAAAGGTATTCATCACTTCAGAAACACTATATTCCAAATGGCACTTCAAGAGATGAGTCTAGGCCTGGAGATATAGTTCAGTTGTAGGGCACTCACCCAGCATGACCTAGCATGCACAAGCCCTGGGCTCAATCTCCAACACTACCCCTTCCCCAAAAAGCATCTTTAGGAAGTACAAAACTTACTTTTGGGGGCCATCTTGTTTTGTAATGATTCTCACATAAATAAGACGTTCCTCTGCCTAAGGTCTCTGTGTCCGCTGCAGGGTCACTCCTCTCTGCTGTCCCTCAGCTACACCACCTCCACACACCCAACTCAGTGCCTACGCTTTTCTCTGTACTTTCAAACCACTGCACATCCTTTCAACAAACTCAAAAAATTGTGATAAAAAATTACAATGATTATATACTGTTTTAAAAAACCTAATTCTGTTAAGTAGTATTTCTCAAGTTTTCTGAAGCAGTTTCCACATCCTCCCTCTTGCAAATATATTCTGCTGATCTCTGGTCTCAGTCTTGTTCTATTTCCACAACTTCAAATTCCTTTTCTTACCCAGACACCAGATGAACACCCGCATCTGTGGCTTCTGCAGACTTGGCAATTGCAGACAAGTGTTGGAAGGTCTCCAAAAACCACTGCTTCAGCGTGGGCACAGGTGTGTCTGCAGTCATGGAGAAAAGCGAAGGCCAACAGAGAGGAAACGATCATGGCACAAATGTAGTCAGGGAGGAGCATTCAGACAGAACACACGGAGCTTTCGATGTTGATGTGTCTATCTGGCCTACTCTTGTAATGGTTACTGATGGAGGGGAAACAGGCTAGGCAGGGCAGCCTGACACGGGAGCCAGAAGCACACACGGTATATTTCTAAGATGCCAGCCAGAGCAGGAATGACTGGGTGACTGGGAAATCCAACCAGGCACATGGTTGGGACAATAAACAGAACAGAGAGGCCCCTTACAAGCAGGTTGGAAGCACAGATCAACAAGGATGTGTTAGTAACAAGACTTAAATAAATCACTGGTTAAAAACTAACAAATACTCCTTTAATATTGAATAAACATTGTTATAAGTGAAAAGTGTGCCTGTGTGAGTGCAACACTCTCCCAAAATTGCAGACAGGCTGCTTGTTTGGAGACACAGAAGAAATAATAACTGCACTGCAGAATTACATTAGACCTCAATGGACTGTCCTCCAATGACCTATGTCAGTGTGGAGAGTTGGCTTAATATGCATTCCTACATTCCTACATCTGAACCCTAAAAATGGAATAGTCGCTTAAAGCCGCACGCTACAGAAATCATCTCCAGATAACAGACAATTCCAGTTCAACTGCGGATTGAGCAGTGACCTAATTCATATTCAAATTCTGGTCAAACAAAACTACAGTAGTCAGAGTGGCAGGAATAATTGCAAATGCAGATGGATGAATGGCTCTGTGCAGGGCACTAGTTTGAACTCTGTGAATATTAGCTCATTTAATCCTCAAAAGAGCCTACCGGTAGGCACGGGGCCGTATTTATTACTAGTGCTGGTCTGGATCATTTCTTATGAAGAAGTCTGGGGAGCGGAGCAAAGCTTTCCTCTAGCAACAGCGGAAAGACAAAGAAATGTTTCAGGACACCAAGGCACTGAGCCTCACAGAGAGCAAAGGCGTCTGTGACTGGATGGACTCTCAGATGAAGCGCGTCCTTTGAAGACGTCCAGGAACGCCAGGCAGCCTTCAGGATCACTTACACAGGCCTGGTATAAGCAAGGGGACTCCGAGCAACGGTCACAAGACAGGCACCTAGTGTGAAAATCAGCATCTTAGAAATACCTGTCTCTCACCTGGATACTTGTGAGGAATGAGCATCCCAGCTGCCACATTACTGGTGGTATCAGGAGTGAACTTGTCTGAGAGGACGGTAACGGAGCATCGGGGAACCAGCTGGGAAATGCACGAGGCGGTTGACAAGCCTATCACGCCAGCCCCGACAACTGCAATGCGCACCGTGTCCATGGCCTGAGAGGAGCGAAATGCAGACCTTTAGGGAATCATTCTGCCCAGATGAAGTCCGGGCTACAATTCTTTCCTCTCAGAGTTAATTAAGACTTCCTTCTGATGTCCCCATGGTGAAGGCCAGCGACTCCCTAACCTCTCGCTCCATTAAACATCAGTAAGAGCTACGAGGTCTCTCCAGGCGTTACCAGCCAAACCAAAACCAGCCTAGCTCTTCTGCCACCAGCAATCACAAGGCATTTGGGGACAGAGTTCTAGCCTTTGTGCACCTGCTGAACTTTTCCCCTGTGGGCACATCTCAGGGAGTGCTGGGGAGGTAAACAAGGCCTGGAGGGTGGCTGAGCTGTGACCTCTGCTCCTAGGACCTGCTGAGGAGCAGACACAGAGGCACCGCCAGCACATTGTGCATCTGTTTTGAATGACAGCATCAGACAGAGCTTGAGTGACAGAAACTGACATCATGTTCCCATCTTCACAGTCTCTGGGAACCAACTCTCTCCCCAGCCTCCTCATTCCCTCCCGTCACTGTCTCCTCCTAGAACTCTGGGCCTGAACTCCCAACCTAGACAGTGTATTTTCAAAATAAAGGAAGCTGGGCTCCTGGCTGAACTGCGCCATGGATGGTTCTATACCATGAAGGAATGGCCCATGACCTTCCAGCCTCCATGCCCTTTCGAAGATGAGACCAAGCGAATTCTTATTAGTCTCTTCAGTGGTAAATGAGAGGCCATGGAGGCTGTCTCCCAAATAGGCCTCTTGTGGGAGGGTTTGGGGGAAATATAGGTGCCAGGTGCCTGTGGCTCCCACCGCAAGGCTGACATCTTGTGTGAGAGGTAAAGAGAAAAGATCTCAGTTCCTCCTACCTCTCACAAGTCAGCAGGGATCCATGACTCCCTCAGCCCTGGCAGCCTCCCTGCCGGCCTTCACTTTGGCTTGCTATATCTGCTCCCTGCCCAGCTCCCTCTATCTGGCTCAATTCCAAAATAAGGAGAGAAAAAAAAATATAACAATCAATTCAGTTAGTCATTGCCATGTTGAGAGGCTAAGTTTTAATACCCAGCCAGCTGTTGGGGCTGTCAGCATAAAAACCTGTCCTTGGCACAATCCCTTCTTGCAAAGAGCAATGGCCGGGACATCAGGTCAGGTGGAATCAGCCATGGTCGTCATGAGGTCTGGCTCTGGGTGATTCTCTGCCTCCTCCCTCGCTCCGTGTGACTCTCCCCCCACCCCCATGAGCCTCTGCAGCCTTTCTGGGAGGTGTAATGTGTGCTGTTTCTATCACTGAGCTGTGTGTGTGTTTCTGAGCTGAGACTAGACTGCCAGAGCCAAGGGGAAACAGAGAAGGGTTTCGGGCACATGACAGTCCATTGGGTAAGGCCAGAGGGGGGAAGCCCTGGACATGTCCCCAGGGGGTGTAGAGAGCCAGTCATGCCCTTACTAACCCCACCTCATCACAGTGGCTTTGCCTGCCCAGCAGCTTGTCCGTAGCTCTAGTAAGTTAACACAAGGGCAAAAGCAATCTGTGCCTAAGAATAGCCAGCTGCCAGGTGGGGGAAGGAGAGCCAGAAAGATAGGAAGGATCCTGGTGTGACCTGTCAGTCTCTGGCCCCAATCCCACCAAGACACACCCCCAAACTTCCAGGGTGCAGACAGAATGGCCCCTGAGCCAAAAGTGGGGTTCAAATACCTGTCTCTGAGAAGGCAGTCTTGTGTCCCCCGGAGGCCCTGGCACCAACACTTGTTTTCCAGTGACCAGTTAGCCTGGTTTCCTGAGAGACAGGGAAAACAAAACTTCTTCCCATTGGGGAAATTATTAAGGGTGTTCTCTCTAAGCTGACTCTCCATTGGCCCAATCAGCTGTGTCTGCCTCTGCCCAGGAGAGAGGAGCTCGAAAGCCCTGTGAACTCACATCTCTGCCCAGCCTGCCAGGGAAGGTTCATTAACCATGGCCCGTCTTTGTCCGGCCTCCAAGCACTTCAACTCGCCACCAGCCTGGAGTTTCTCCAGCTGATCTGTCTGCGTGGTAAATAACGGTGGCAAGTCTGGCTTCCAAAAAGTTCCAGCTAGAACCAAACACCTGTTTCCTCGCTGCGCTGTCCAGAGTACTCGGCCATCTCCCATTGGGTACCTGACTGTGGTGGGCGTCGCGGAGGGTGGGATGAGCAGGGAGCCAGGCAGTGAAATGCTGTTGATAGCTTCGATGACTGACAGTCTGATGGCGGTTTCGATGAAAGCCCTGATGGCAGCTGGAAAACATTCAGAAAATAAGCAAGGGGGGAGTAGAAATTTACAGAAGAGAAACAGTATTTGCTGAGTGTCAACCGTGTGCAAAGCACCAATCACTTCAAAGTTGTTTGTTTCCAGAGAAGCAATCTGATGTGTTACGGTAATTATAATGATACAAATTAAAGATTTATTGTATATTTAAGTCGTTTTGGTCTGTGGGGAGTATGTGTAGATGAGTGCAGTGCCCACTGAAGCCAGAAGAGGGCATCAGATCCCCTGGAGCTGGAGTCACTGAGGACAGAGAGGGAGCTACAGGGAGGTGTGTACAGGAGCAGCCTGTGGAAGTGCTGGGATCCCAAACAACTGAGGCTATGGAAGGAAGGCAATAGTGGGCTCCTTCCTCCCCTACCCTGGTTAGGACTTTAAAGGTCAAGAAAAAGAAGCGCTCACAACACTAAAAGCCCTTTAGTCCTTGCAGAAGCAATGTCAGTTGATAAACTGATGTGAAAACCATTTAAGGCACAGAGAGAGTGAGAGTCAAAAGAGCCCCGAGGAGCCATCTGATGAGATCCCCTGTGAGCATTTTACAGGTGCACCGCTGAGGTCAAAGAGTTAACATACTGACTCCCCAGAATACAGGCATGGAGCTGATGTGCTATGATTAGCTTCCAAGTATTACAAAAACAGCATGTTTTTATTTTCCAAGTATAAAATGAAAATTTAAGAAATGTCTAAGTCATGCATGGTGGCACATGACTTTAATCCCAGCACTTGGGAGGCAGAGGCGGATGATGAGGTCACGCTAGTCTACAGAGTGAGTTCCAGGAAAGCCAGGACTACGCAGAAAGAAAAACAAAACTGTCTTACCACCACTATGATAATGTCTGTTCCTTAACTTACAGTTACTGTGGCTTTCCAATACTCGCTAATGTTGTCAACTAAGCAATTGTAACAGATTTTTCACGATTAAAAAATTAATCACATTTTAAATATCTAAAAAAACTGTCTTAAAACACTCAAAAAGAGGAAAAGGAAGAAGCAAAGAGAAAAAAGGAAGAAGAAAGAAAGGGAGGAAGGAAGAGAGAGAGAAATAGAGAGAGAGAGAGAGAGAGAGAGAGAGAGAGAGAGAGAGAGAGGAAGATGCCTGTGCAGCAAAGTAAAAAAGTGTGAAGGCTTAATGCTTGATGAATATTTGTGAACTTTTATAATGAAAGATCTGAATCCTCTATTAAATAAAATTATCTTCTTAATTAAAATACTTGTCAAAGTTGCTAAATATAAGGTTAACATATAAAAATTAATCTAATTCCCTCTAGACATAGTGGGACATGCCTATTATATAGTATGTGGGAGGTGGAGGCAGGATCATGAGTTCAAAGCCATCCTCAGCTACTTATTGAACTTGAAGACAGCCTGGGCTACATTTAACTCTGTCTCAATAGACAAAATAAATAAATAAATAAAATTAATCAAATTATTTTCTGTCAGCTATGTGCAGTTAGAGATGCCAATATTAGAAACCTGGGCAGTTTTAGTTGTCATGAAAATTTACATCTAGGAATAAATATAACTGAATATTACTAGTCCCAATTCCATTCCTTTTCCTGCAAATGTTATAACGTTTTTTTGCAGATGAATAAAATTCCAGGGTGTATATGTACCACATTTTCATTTTCCATTCATCAGCTGATAAACATGCTATTGCTACTGGAGTCACAGTGAACATGAATGAGTAAGTATCTCTATAGTAAGATATAGACTTCCCTGAAGGTGTACCCAGAGTGGAACAGCTGGATCCCGATGGGGGATGTCCTGATGTTTCTCTGATTGGTTAGTGAATAAAACCCTGATTGGCTGATTGGCCAGGGCTAGCAGATAAGGAGAATGCTGGGAAACATAGGCAGAGGGAGTTGTCATGTAGCACCCAGGAGAGGATGTGCAAGGTGTTCTCCAGTAAGCCAAGACCATGTGGAAATACATAGATTAGTAGAATGAGACAGCTAGCCAATAAGAGGTCCAAGCCACCAGCCAACAGTTTTATAACTAATATAGCGTCTGTGTGTTTATTTGGGGCTAAGAAGGGCAGTGGGACCCGCCAGGCCAGCAAGCTGGATCCTATATCAGGTCTGTTCTAGCTTTCTGATAAGGGTATGACAAAGTGGAATAGCTGGAGCCTATGTCAGGTCTGTGTCTAGCTTTCTGGGACCCTTCCATGCTGATTTCCACAGCAGCCCACCAGTCTGCACTCCCACCAATGTGAATACATGTGTGTCTCCCTTCCCCGCGTCTGTGCGAGCATTCGTTGTTACTCGTTTTTTCTTTTGTTTTTTAAGCAGATAGGGATGTTTTGGTTTTGGGTTTTGTTTTGTTTTGTTTTGTTTTTTTGCCACTCTGATTGGGGTAAGATGAAATCCTGAAGTGGTTTTAATTTTTCACTTCCCTTATGGCTATGAATGTTGAATATTTTTAAAATAGTTTTTAGCTGATTGTACTTCTTTTGGGAACTCTCTACTTAGTTACATGGCCCATTTTAAAAACTGGCCTGTCTTGGTGTTTAAAGTTCTTTTGCATGATCTAAAGACTAACACTCTATTAGATACACGACTGGTAAACATTTTCCCATCCTGCAGTCTGCCTCTTTACTTAACGATGGTGCCCTTTGCTACAGAGAAGCTTTTGGTCTCACAAGGTCCCATTTGCCAATTGTTGGTACTGATTCCTGCACTGCTGGAGTCAGACAGTCCTAATCTGTGCCGACAGCTTGAAGTGGCTCCTGTCTTTGAATCTTTAGATGTATTTAAGTTGGAGTAGTCTTAGAGGCTGGGAAAGTAGGAGCCATTGGGGGTATTTGAAGGAAGGGGGACAGAACACAGATTACACAGAGAAGGAAAGAGGGTAACAGGTTAAATGAGCTGGCAGTCGGGATTACCAAGGGATATGGAGAGGAAACTCACACTAAAGACCTTGGGGAAAGCCATGTGGAAACTGACTACTGTAGACGCCTCATTAAACACATACATGCAACTCATTAAGAGTTTCAACTGAGTCTCCCACTGATGGGTGGGTAATGCCCCTCTCAGATGTCACAGGCTGTTAAACAGAAAGCCCAGCCCCAGTTACGGGTTACTGTTTCTTTTTCAGTTGGCTTTCAATGATTCCCTGAGACCCTCACATCACTATCCAGCCGGCTCCCCACCTACCTGCCCCTGCATGCACCGCCCTCTGCCCTTCTCAGCCATAAATGGGACATCATATACCACATCTTTTCCCCAGGCTTAGGGACCATCGTGAAAGAGAATGAAGAAGGATTGTAAGAGCCAGGGGTAGTGGATGGCCACTGAAAAACAGTGTTTTCTGGACATGACAGGGCCGTTGCATACATAAACACAACATGACTGTAACTGCATACGCAAGATTTGCACAAGATCAAGCTGCCCAAAGCCTCCCAGCATGGATGGGAGAGAGGCTTTGGAAGTTTCACCTCTTGCTGAGGAGCTATTGGCAACTGACAGCTTCAATGGGACATAGAGCACGTTTTCCCCGGGAATGCAGGGCCCGACAGGCAGCCCACACTCCAGCAGATGGCCCTATACCCATGCACATACCAGGAGCACTGTGTGAACTCAGTGAGTGGGTTTAACACAAGAAGTGAAGGTGGAAATTAGAACTGGTGCAGGGCTTAGGGGAAGAGTCAGGGGGTGACGGGTGGATCTGATCAAAACTTATCCTAAGCACAGGTGAAATTCTCAAACAATAATACGTAAATATAACCAAAACTGTGTGTGACCTTTGGGAATGAAATTGCATTTCATTAAGGGGCATTAAAAGACAACCCTGGCAAACAGAGTGCTGGCTAGTTTTGTCAATTTGATACAAGCTGGAGTCATCTGAGAGGAGGGGGCCTCAATGGAGAAAACGCCTCTGTAAGATGTAGCTGGAGGGCATTTTCTTAATTAGTGATTGATGGGAAGAGCCCAGCCCGTTGGGGGTGGTGCCATCCCTGGGCTGGGGGCCCTAGGTTTTGTAAGAAAGCAGCTGAGGAAGCCATGGGGAGCAAGCCAGTGAGCAGCACCCTCCATGGCCTCTGCATCAGCTCCTGCCTCCGGTTCCTGCCCTGACTTCCCTCAGGGACTGGGAACTGAAAAGTAAAACACACCCAGGTGACTCTTGGCCACGGCATTTTTGTCACAGCAGTGGAAACCCTGAGATGCTCTCCTCTCTTCATGTCCCTGTTTGTTTCATTTTGCCTCCTTCAGAAGAGGAGAAACCATTTTTGTTTGTTTTACCTTTTATCTCACAAGTGTAAAGTCCAAATGAAGAACTAACAGTTACCCCAGGAACAGGTTAATATAAACTGTTTAAGTAACTCAGCTCAAATGGCTCCTTGATTTCCCGTAGCAATTCTTTTTAAGTTCACACAGTTGCTTCTCAGACTCACCTCTGCACACAGAGTGCTTTGTCAGCTCTCATTATTAGACAAAAGCAAACTTCCAAATGCAAAGGAAACAAATAGGGAACTTGTGATGAAATCATAATCAGGAAAACCCCCAAGCCCAAGAGAAAAGCTTGGTAAATCTGAAATGCATTAATAGATAAGATTACAAAATCATTAGTAATTGAAATGTCCAAGATGCTTAACTATTTTTAAAAGGCCTGAGTTTAAAGTGAGGTTAAGAGACAATTTTTAGTAAATAGAAATAAAATAAATTTAAAGTTATTTTTAGTGAGAATTTTTTAAAAGATGTATTGATTTCTATTTTATGAGTATGACTGTCTTGCCTCTATATCTGCCCATGCACTGCTTGCATGCAATTCCCACAAAGAGGGGATGAGAACATCAGGTCCTCTGGAATTTGAGTTCCAGATGGTTGTTAGCAGCGCTGTGAGTGCTGTGAACCAAGCCCAGCTCCTCTGCTAGAGCAGTAAGTGCTCTTAACTGCTGAGACCCTGTCCAGCCCCCATATATGTTCTCTTAAGAGAACAGGAAGACACACGAGTTAACGTTGCCTACAGAGCCAAATGGACCCTAAAGCCAGTCTCCCTGAATGCTGTGTTAAGTGCACAGTGTACACAGTATAGCACATCACCAGTTCTCTGTGCTGTCCAATAAACCTACAGACAGAACTTAGTAACTATGGGAAGAGAATATCAGACTAAAACCCACTTCCCAGCCCCTGGCAGATATAACCGGCTCAAAGCTGAGCATGCTGGTTTGTACCTTTAAGCACACTGGAAAGTGAGACAGTCTTTTGTAATTCTGGTTTCTTATGATTTCGTCCTGAAGGCACATATCCTTTAGCAATGCTTTTATGAAGAAGATTCACAAACAAGGAAAGAACATCAGAATTTTCACGGGGCTTTGTAAAAAAAAAAAAAAACAACAAACAAAAAAGCACTCATAATCCTGGTGTGTGGCAGGTTACTCCTATTGCCAGCACTCAGGAGGCTGAGGCGAAAGGATTGCCATGAGCTTGGAACCAGCCTGGGCTACAGTGTGACACTCTGTTCTTAAAAACACAGAAAGAAGATGATGGGAGGGGGGGGGAGGACAGCAGGGGGAAGGAACTGGGATTGGTGTGGAAAATAAAATTGTTTTAAAATAATAAAAGACTGAAATAGACTTTTAAAATGTGAAGTCTTTAAAAAAAAAACAAAAAGAAAGAAAAGAAGAAAAAAGAGGCGGGGATGCGTCAAGAAGAAGAAAGGAAAATTCTCCATGCCCCCTTCCTAGATAGTGGTCCTTGCGGAGGGAAAGGCTAGGGAGCTCCTGCACCCATGGAAACACCTGGTGTCCCTGAAACCTGTGCCATAGCAAGGCAAGCGGTGGAGAGGGAAACCACTACAAAGAAAAGTAACGAGGGACAACTAAGTAGCAGCCCACAGCGTGAAAAGAATTAGAATTCCCATACAGGTCTTTATTTCATTGACCTTTACAAAACAATTGTTTAAAACTTTCTCACATAAAACTGTTTTATGCAGATACGTAAGTAACATGTGGGAGGTCCGAATAACACCTCTCTAACAGAAGAAAGTCACCCCTGGCAATGTCCCAAGTGCTAGGTGCATGGAAGACTCATCACCATCAGGGTCCCCCAGGTTAATCACCCCCACGTCTCAGCGGTCTCAGCTGTGGGAGGGCCTTAGTCCGGACTACCCGGCTCGGCTGTGGGAGGGGCTCTGCCTGGACCATCCTTCTCAGTTTCGGGAGGGGCTTCCCCTAAACCATCCTTGTTCTCTGGCACCCGCTGTCCAGTTGCCCCCCAAGTAGATGTCAATGGTTTGTTGCCGGTTTCTGGAAGCTTCAATGACAACAGTCCACTCAGCATGGCCAGGATCCCAAATAAAATCCAGAAGAAATGTTTAAAAAAATAACAACAGTAATGACACACACAAAAGAAATGTGCTTTTTTCCCGAGGGCAATAGAGTTGGCATTGACATTAAAAGTTAGTGTGTTTGTTCCTTGCTGAGGTCTTTACGTTGCTTGTGCTAGGGTAGGAGTTCATTTTATCACCACCGAGGCTTCATCTCAATCCACTCATTCACAAACCACTGAGGGGACATGTAGCCAAGAAGCGCCAGCTCCTGCCTTAGGAAGTGGCATTAAAAAAAAGCCCCTGCATTTTTTTCTAGACCCCAGAGTATAGAGAAACCAGGGGACTAAGCCCTGAGTTCATCAGCCCTGTCCATGTTCCAGGGACTAGTATACTGTATCATCCAGTGTTATGGAGTTCCTGACCCCCTGGGAAAAGACTACAGACCCAATCCAATTATAAATAAAGAATTTATTGATTACTGCTAGCGGGACTGCAATCTCTGAGCCAAACTTGAGACTGACATAGGAAAGGAGTCCTCCCTCCTTCCCACATCCATGCTTTTTCCAGTCCTGGTGGCCGTTTCCCTCAGTGAAAACCAGTCTTAAGCCATTATAATCCACGTACCCACTCTGCTTGGGTTCTTGTCACTCGGCACCTCTGGGATCTTTCATAAGCTACTTAATATCCTGGCTGTTCACAGTTTCCTAATCTGTAACGTGGAATTAAGAACAGCATCCACTGGGGCTGGGCAAACAGCTCAATCAGTAGAGTCTGCTGCACAAGCGCGAGGATTTGAGGGGATTCCCAGCACTCACATTAAAAAAAAGCCAGGCGGGACAGCAAGCACCCATCATTCCAGCGCTGGGGAACTGGAGACAGCTGGGTCTCTGGAGCACTGCCTAGCCAGGTCAGTAAGCTCCAGTTCTGGAACACGATAAATAAGGGACCCAGAGACTGATTCTAGGATTCGAGCTTCAAGCTGAAGATCAGAGAAGCAAAGCAGCCGGTCACTAGCTTTTACCTTTATACCAGGCTGAAAGGGCTGATCCTGTTTCCTCTCCTCGGCATGGCGAGAGAATCCTGAGACTTGAGTGTCTTCCTATGCTCAGTGCGGCTGGAGAATGAATGCCTGACACTGATCACAGAAGACCCTGCTCCTATCTTTTATACCCCTCTAGTGCTGGGATTAAAGGCATGTGATCCCAGCTGCTGAGACCATCTTTGTGCGAGCTGTTTCTCTTTAGGACTGTACCACTCTTGTGTAGATCTGGGTGGCCTTGAACTCATAGAGCTCCGTCTACCTCTTAATCCCGAGTCCTAGGAACAAAGGTGTGTACCACCACCTCCTAGCTTCTGGCTGCTGGATTAGGTGTATGCCTGGCTTCTGTGGCTTTTGGCTGACTTTGCTTTCTGAATCCCCAGGCAAGTTCTAATAAATCATAAGCAATATCTCTCCACCCAGTTCAGTGAGAGACCCAGTCTCAAAATACAATGTGGAGGGCCAGCAGGGTGCATCAGCAGGTAAAGGTGCTTGTCACACAAGCCTGATCACCTGAGCCCAGTCCCCAGGACCCACGAAGGTGGGAGAAGAGGCCTGGCAATCAGAAGCTGCCCTTTGACCTCTGCACACCAGCTGTGGTGCTCATGCCCCTGTGCACACATCACAGACCACAAACATCTGTAAAAGGTGGGGAGTAGTTGAGGAAGGCACCGGGTAACAACCTCTGGCCTCCACACATCAACCTCTAGGCACACAAGCACAGGAACACATGCGTGGCGCACATAAAACAGCAGTATCTGCTACCAGGACTGCTGAGGTATTGATGTATTTAAGGCTGGGGACAGTGCCTGGCTCATCATAAACAATCCATACTTGCCTGCTGTCACTGTCACCGTCTTGTGACAAACATGTTCATCATAAACAATCCACACACACTAGCTGTCACTGTTACTGTCTTATGGCAAACATATTCAAGGTTCTTTCACTCCTGTTGTGATAGCCTATCAAACAGGACAAGTGTCTGAGTTCCCTTGCCCACCCTGTCCCCAGGTCCTTCTCAGCTCTCCTGGCCCCCTGCAGCTCACAGCCCTCCCCCACAAGCTGATCTTCCCAGGCAATCAGGGGCAGGTTCCTGTCCTGCTCTATCCCAGCTGCTGTCCTCACCACCCCTGCCCTGTGGAGCTCAGTCACTCCTCCTGCTTGCTCTTCAGTCTCCTCCAGGCTTCTTCTTCCTACAGCTCCTTAACATCTTTGCTCCTAGGGCTTTGCACCTCTGAGCTCCAGCCGTGGAGGAGCACCCACCACAGGGTCTCGACCTTGCCGTCCTACGGGCACCCTGCCCACATCGTGTTGACAAGTCTCTCTTCCACATCTGCTCCTTCTCCTGGGAGCCCTCCAGCTCCTGCAGTGACTCTTGCTGGCCTCTGACACCCACCAGGCCACCAAGAACCACCAGGGACTGTGAATATGACTTTTCCATGTGTGGTTTGAATGTTACCACGGAAGATGCTCTTCTGGGCTGTTTGCCTTCTCCCCAGGCTCTGTACAACAGCTATTAGCCATGATGCCTATGCTTTCCTGTTCCCTATGACTGAAGTAAGTGTGTGTGTGTGTGTGTGTGTCCCAGCTAACCCTTCCTGGCCCCTGTATACAGACATTGTACTCTCTGGCCCCCACAGGCTTGTAGCATTGGGGGTTCCCCTGCAGAAAAAAAAGTGATCAGGTTGAGGTAAGAATGAAATTCAGCTCAGCCAGATTTTATTTTAACCAGCATGAACCAGGACTTCTAGCATCTGGCCCAGATCATTTTACTTTAGACATATTTAAGCACAGCACAATTTTGGAAAAAGAAGTATTCAGATAACAATTAACTCAACTCCATGAGTACAACAAAGCTTCAGACAAGTTTATGTTTAAGTTCTTAGCAAGGTACATATGGCTTCATCTGTAAGATGGCTTCTTGTTGACGTAGAGACATTGCTCAAGATGAGGGTCTAGGGAGCTTGACTGAGGTAAACCTGTGGGTGTTAGGATCGGCCTGGCCCTAAGATAGCTTAGAAGTCACCGAGGCCCTTGTAAAGCACAAGTGACTTCATTCATAAGAATGGGTTTTATGGCCTAAAATCAATATTCACGATTTAGGGAGGAAAAGTCTGGAATAAGTAAAAACATAAATTCTGGAAGATATGGGTAGACCCTGTCTCATGAGGCAGCAAAGGATCATCAAGTTGTACAACTACGTCATTCTTGGCATTCCAGGAAGAGTAACTACACACCTCACTCCATTAAAGAGGTGAACTGTGTATTTAACCTTTCTAGCTTCTCTAGAGCTTATCTTTATGCACAAGACAGTTTGTCCCTCTGCATGTAGCAAAAATGCATTCAGCCCAACTTCAAAAGTCCCCATAGTCTATCACAGTCTCAATTGTTGTGGAAAATTTTTTAAGGTGTGCTACATTTTTTATGCTCTGGAACATTTTCTTAACAATGTAAACATGTGTGACTTTTGTTTATGCTGTATTTGTTTAACTCTGTGAAGCTGTGATTCCTTGCCTGTCTAAAACACCTGATGGTCTAACAAAGCGCTTAATGGTCAATTATGAGGCAGGAGAAAGGATAGGTGGGGCTGCCAGGCAGAGAGAATTAATAGGAAGAGAAATCCGGAAGGAGAGACTGAGGAAGAAGCAAGAGAGAACAAGGAGAGGAGGATGTCAGGGGCCAGCCACCCAGCCACCCAGCCAGCCATGCAGCCACCCAGCCACCCAGCCAGCCATGCAGCCACCCAGCCACCCAGACATCCAGACACCCAGCCATGCAGCCAGCCATGCAGCCAGCCATGCAGCCAGCCATGCAGCCAGCCATGGAGCAAGAGTGAAAATAAGATATACAGAAGTAAGAAAAGGAAAAAGCCCAGAGGCAAAAAGGTAGTCAGGATAATTTAAGTTAAGAAAGCTGGCAAGAAACAAGCTAAGCTAAGGCCAGGCATTTATAACTAAGAATAAGCCTCCATGTGTGATTTATTTGGGAGCTGAGTCACGGGGCCAACAAAAGAGAAAAGAGCAAAGAGTAAACCAACAACATGTTGGCATTCCAATGTAGGACTAGAGTAAAAGAAAAACCAGCAACACTCAACACTGTTTGACAGTTCAAAGTCTCTTCTGAGATTCGTGGCAGTCTGAACTGCATTTTAACAATATGCTTGGGTTTAAAGCAGGAGAGCCAATCCAACTCTAAAGCCAGCGTTAATTAGATGAATTGGGACTCAGGCATATTAGGAAGCGAAGGAATAGAAATTACAATAACAAAATAGAGATTTAGACATTGATAACACGTTGTATTATTGCATGTTTGGTGGTCCTCTGGGTAGCTATCCTTTCTTCTTTAGGTACCCATATACCTAAGATTTTTTCACTGTTCAGAACTAATTTTTCCTGTAAAGACACAAACAGAACACTTCTCTTTCCTTTGATGAGATCTCCTTACACATAACAGCATATGAGATCTCCTTACACATAACAGCATATGAGATCTCCTTACACATAACAGCATATGATAGATTATGGCCTTGTTTTAACTGTACCCCACCCCCTCACACATCAAAACCAAAGAGCAGGTCACATACTTTCAACATATAATGGCACAGGATATGCATTTATCATTCCAACGTGGGGAGAGAGAGCTTAGTGAGGAAATACTGGACCAAAGCAAGACTGAAACCCAGCTGGGCAGACTCCAAATTCTGTATCTCCATGTCTGATGTCAAAAAGCTCTTCAGAACTTTGACTGCTTCTAACTTTGTTGACAGTGGCGCACTTCTCTCTCTTGTGTTTCTGCTGCCTGTTAGCAGCCTTCCTCAGTAGGTATCCTACGACAATGGCATCTCCAACACCTTGGGGTCTCCACCACAATCCGAGCTTCACCTCGACAGCTTCACACAATGGCCTCTCTGGGCCCCCATGAAGGGACATTTCTGACACATGCCTGGCCTGGGTGGCTTTCCTTAGCTTCAGAGGAAAATTCCACAACCCCTTTTATTTTGTCCTTGACTCTAACGCTAAAATCATGTGGTTGAAGCTGCCAAGTTCTGCTGCTTGATGGAACTGGAACTTGACACCCTCATTCAAATACATTTTCATCGCTTTCTATTTTTGATGGTTTCCTTCACTGCTTACACTTTCATTTAATTCCTTTTCACAGGTTGGAGGCTTAGCTGAGTGGGGTCTTGTCCTGAGGTCACCACTCCCTTTATTTCATTTAACATCAGGCTTTTCCTTAAACTTTTTATCTCCTTGAGCACTGAACTTAGCTCCATTACACTTTATCAGCGAGCTGTACATTTTGTATTTTTCATTGCTCAGCTTGTTCCTTTTCTTTATAGATCTGCTTAACAGTGGCTACTAATAACCACATTACACAGTCAGTACTAGGCAGTCTTGAAATCTTCTCTGCCAACACCATTAATCCAAAACTCTTCAATTTAGCCTCAGGCAGACTCATTCTTCACCAAAATATCACAGGAACAGTCCCTAGGCCATGTGCTAATTTTCTTCCCATCTGAAAACCTCTATAATCTCTGGGTCATTGTAATATACACTAGTCTCAGTAACACTGCCTTCCATATTCCTATTAGTATGGCCCATTAAGTCCTACTTAAATGTTCAACTGTTTCCCTAATCCAAAATTCCAAAGTCCAAGTTCTGCCAACAAACCTCATGATCAGGCCTGTCACAACAATACCAACTCCCGGGTACCAGCTTCTGTTTCAATATTCTATTGCTGTGAAGAGACACCATCACAATGGCAACTCTTATAAGAGAAAACATTTCATTTGGGCATGCATACAGTTTTGGAGATTAAGTCCATTATCATCATGGTGGGGACATGGCGGTACACAGGCAGACATGTGCTGTAGAAGCCACTGAGGGTTCTACATCCAGATCTGTAGGTAGCAGGAGGATTGAGACACTGGGCCTCGCTTGAGCTTTGGAAACCTCAAAGCCCAGCCCCAGGGACACACTTCCTCCCACAAGGCCACATCCCCTAATCCTTGCAAATAGTGCCAGTTCCTGGTGACCAAGCATTTAAATATAAAAGCCTGTGGGAGCCATCCTCATTCACACCACCATACTCTGTCTTTTTTTACTGTGAGAGACCTTGGCTAGTAATTATTTTCTGCTAGTCTTTCTCCTTGCATGTAAATGAAGGAACTAGTAGTATCTGTTTCATACAAAAAATTAACATCGTCAAAGCACTTAAAACTAAGCCCACCTGAGTATCTGTTAAATGAAAGACCTCTTTTCTTCTAGAACCCTTAAAACACCCTTGCAAATATCCTTCTCTACAATTATTTAATTCTTTGTGTGAATCTATAGCAGTTTGCTTTTATGGATTTGTCTGTCTTCTTTTTGTGAGTTTGGCTCCTTGTTTTTGTTTTGTTTTGTTTTTTGTTCTTTGGGTTTTTTTGTTTGTTTTGGTTTTTCGAGACAGGATTTCTCTGTATTGTTTTGGAGGCTGTCCTGGAACTCACTTTGTAGACCAGGCTGGCCTCGAACTCACAGAGATCCACCTACCTCTGCCTCCCAAGTGCTGGGATTAAAAGCATGCGCCCCAACGCCCGGCCAGCTCCTTGCTTTTATTATTATTATTATTATTATTATTATTTATTTTTAAATTTAAATTTAAATTAGAAACAAGGGTGCTTCACAAGTCAGTTCCAGGTCCCTCTCCGTTTCCCTCCCCAACTCCCGTGCCCTCCCCCCAACCCTCCCAATATCCCCTCATTTCCCCAGGGAGGGTGAGGCCCTCCATGAGGTGTCCATAGTCTGTCATTTCATCCAGGGCAGGGCCTAGACCCTCCCCCAAGCTCCTTATTTTAAAGAACATTTTGATCTCTTTCTTTCCCCTCTTCCTCCTTCCCTCTCTCCCTTCCTCTAAGAAACAAAATGGTAGCTCAAAGGAGAGGCTCTCACAAAACTCCCATGCCTTAGAATGGGTGGTAGACTTTCCCTGAACACCAGGTAGCCCATGTTTTCTTTTCCTATAAACAAGTTCTCTTGAATCTTATTGCACTTAAAACTTGCATAGCCGACTTTACTCCAGTCGGTTCTGGTAAACTATCCATAACTTCAAAATCACTTGGATCAATAAGACCTGGGTATTTATTGCAGTGTTTTCTGTGCCACTGTAATTGTGAACATTAGTTTTCAACAAGATGGCATACTGCTTAATTCTCATTTCTTCAGCACTAGGCCGTTATTGGCAAGGATGACCAACGTCACTTGACTCATAAGACCATCTTTGTGATTTACTTTGTATTCGAGCATATACTTTCCCCTCTGCATAACAATTTGGAACTTCTTAGCAGTAACTCACCTCCTTTATCATGTCCTCTGTGGCCACCACGTCCTTTAATGTTTAAGTACAGGATGATCCCCAACCAAGAGCAGCATCCAGAGGGGGAGAAAGCAAGCCACACTGACCAAAGCTATTTCTCCGACTCAGAGTCAGCTGGTGAAGGAGGCTCCAGAACCCCAAAGAAGCAGACTGTCCTGAGCATGTGGGTGATGCTACAGAAGGCACTGATTTCCAGAGAGGGATTCACATACCGCTTGTGTGTACAAGATGACACTGCGGGGGAGAGGGGACTCGACACTTTATTTTTGTCTGCGGTTATACTTAGTGTATTTTACAAAAAAAAATTTAGAATGGAGTTGAAGAGAAAGTACAGTTAATAAAATGTTATCTACACAAACACAAAGACTTCAATTTGCTCCTAAAAGCCCACATAAAAAGGCTAGAGGTATTAGAGCACCTTTGTCTTCCCAGCACTGGGGAGGCAGAGATGGGTAGATCCCTGGGGACTGGCTGTCCATCCAGCCTAGACTGCTTGGTAACCCCCAGGTCAGTGAGTGAGCGTACCTCAAAGATGAGTGGCTCCTGAGGAACACAGGAGGCTGACCTCTAGCCTCCACACACATATGTGCATGTGTGTACACACGCAAAGCATGCCCACACCTGCACACACATACTACACACATGCACAAATACGTTAGTAGTCAGGCAAGAGGAAGGTGATTCTTGGGGAAAATGTGAGGGGTGACAACTGACAGACCTGAGGTGAAGTAGGGAAGAACAACGGGATGACTAAAAGCCACGCCCAAGTGTTGAGCCTGAGGACATTGACTCACCCTTGACTAAAAGTGTGAGGCAGGAGGAGGAGGGACTTTAAATTACTGACCAGCTCCAAAGACATCCAGACAGAATAAGCCTGAGGCTAGCAGCTTGGAAGAGAGGAGAACTTGGCCGAGTGGAGGAGGGGCACATTGGAATCTGAGGGAAAGGAGCAGAAAAAGAGACGAGAAGTGTAGAGGAGCAGCTGCAAAGAGAGCGTTTGGAGGAGAAAGGCCATATGTGAGGTCCCACGTCCCGGAATGGCAGCGTCAGGAACCACCATCCCTGCCCTCCAATCCCCCCAGCTCCACATTCCTCCTGATTGGAAGACCCAGGTAGACCCAGTTATGACCCACCCACTTCCCAGCCTCTCGGTTCTTCCACGGGGCTCTGAGCATGGCTGTTCTCACTCTCCAGACCCACCCAGCAGCTCATACTGCCAGGGCCACAAGAATTCAAGAGGGAGGTCTCCTCCGTGAAAAGTCTCTCAGGGCACTACAGACTCTTTGAGGGAGCAGGCAGCCTCCAAACTTTTCCCAGAGCCAGGGGCCACTACAGGAGTGCAGAGGCAAGGGTTGAGCTAGGTGGAGAGACAGAGGCCTGAGAGGTGACACAGGAAGCTCCTTCTGCTGAAATGCTGGTGGCTCCAGGCTAAGAGCAGAGTGGAATGGACAATAACTCACAGGAGCTGAAGACATTCGGCGGATAATAAAGCCACGCCCACCTTCCTACTTACCCACTGGTGAGCGCTCCTGTTTCAACAGACCTCCATTATACCATGGTTATATTGATCTCCAAAAGATAAAATCAGAAATGACAGAACTGGATACCCCACCTCTCTGCTATCCCAGTGTCTACACAGTGATAAAGAGCTGTGGCAGGATGGTCCAGACTCTGGTGAATTTCCCCGTGAGAGGGATAAGGATGCTTGCCACTCGGGACACCATATTGCTGCTCCCCACAGCCCAGCACCTGAAAAGACCAGAATTTACTGATTGCAACAACAGCAGACAAGCAAAGGAAGGGGGTACAGAGGGTGAGAGATCCCCCACCTGCCACCCCCTCCTCACTCTCCCACAAGGAGGAGAGATAATAAACTCAGAAATAAGTCAGATGGTTCCAAAACCAACTCTGACTTCTACCTTCATTCTGTGAAATAATGTGTATAAGAGCCTGCATATTAGAAAGGCACAAGCCAGCTTTAATCTACGGTTTAAATGAGGCTCATATGTATTCAGAGCCAGCTCAGGATCAGACACATTTGTTTAGGGAAGGATATGATAACTTAGGAGAACAAAATATTTGTTATGATGTCTATTAATGTCAAATAATATCTTTAAGATTTTATTTTTTGTTTTGATGTGTGTCCATGCACACACACACACACACACACACACACACTTGGGGCAGAAGAAGGCAGGTGTTGGATCCCCTGGAGTAAGACTTATAATCTGAATTTGCACAGGTACCCACCGCAGAGTCAAGGATTTGTCTCAAGGATGGATAACTTCCTGGAATGCCAGGGGCTGTTGTTCATGTAAGATAACAAGTCACGTTGTTTTCACCTCAGTAAACAAGGCTGGTTGTCCCCACTGCACAGGGTGCTTGGTCACACATAGCTGGGGGGTACGTAGGCAGGAAATACGTCAGGATGTGTGCTTGCCCCAGTTGGACAAAGGCAGGAAGTACCGTAGCCTTGTGGGTTCTGCCTTTATGAGTCCCCGCCTCCTTTTGCTCTCTCTTAAGGACTGCTGATGTGACAGGACAGGCCTTCTTAAAATGGTATTTGTAGGAGTTTTTATCATAGCAACAGTAATGAAACTAATACCAAGCACCAAGAAATTGGTCACAAGTAGTGGAACCATTGCTGTGGCGATCCTGACCATTTGAACTTTAGGCTTTTGCTCTGTGGAAGGAATGTGGGATATTTTACAACTCTGAACTAAAAAAGTCACTGAATGCTACAAGAAGAGCCTAGTGGGCCACTGTAGTGGGAGCCTAGAAGACAGTAATGCTGCGGCAAGGGGATAGTGGATGCTGTAGTGGGTGGATTTGTGTGTCAACTTGACACAAGCTACAGTCATCAGAAGAAGGAGCTCAGTGGAGGAAATGCCTCCGTGAGATCCAGATGTAAGCCATTTTCTCATTTAGTGCTCAATGGGGGAGGTCCCAGGCCATGGTGGGTGGCGCCATCCCTGGACTGTTGGTCTATAAGAAGGTGGGTTGAGCAAGCCATGGGAAGCAAGCCAGTAAGCAGCTCCCTCCATGACCTCTGCATCAGCTCCTGCTTCCAGAATCCTATCCTGATTGAGTTCCTGTCCTGACTTCCTTCAGTGATGAACAGCAATGCTGAAATGTGAGCCAAATAGACTCTTTCTGCCCCAACTTGATTTCTGGTCATGGTGTTTTCCTCAGAACAATAGAAACCCTAAATAAGACAGATGCTCTGAGAGGGGAATGAGAATTGGGCTGAGAACTAACTGTCCATGTGATCTTTTAGCAAAGAATCCAGCTGCATTCTGTTCATGTTCTAAGAATTTACACGACACCAGATTTAAAAAAAAATTGACTAATTCCATGACAGCATAACATTGAGTCTGTGGATGGCAATGATATATTCTTAGTTACTCTCATGCAGATCTGTAGTTAAAATGAGCAGTAAATAGGGCAGTTTAGAGAGGAAAAGAACACTGGGACGCTTAACTGTGTAACTAGGGCAGGTGCTGAGAAGGAGGCTGTATTGCTGGGAAGTCTCCTGCTCTTGTGGAACAGGAAAGGCACCTTGAGGGCAAAGCCCCATGTGAACAGGGAGCCCCAGGGCACTTCTGCTCCTGGAAAGCAACTGCTAGGGAAGTTTTCAACCAGCTTCAGTCCATGGAAGGTGCTGGAGCTGTGGTCTACACTGGCCAGCCAACATCCACAGCTGGAAGCAGAACTTGTCAGTGTTATTTACATGATTCTGATTTGGTAGGCAGGAAAGATGCAAGACTGGGGAAGTCATGAATGAATTCTTCCTCCACAGTCTTTAGAGAGCCACTAAGGCCAGGCAATGATTGCAAGGGGCAGAGTCCCTGGGAGGGGGACCCGATGTGAAGGGGAACCTAGGTTACAGTGGAGATGCCAAAGCCGTGGGGTGTCTGCCAAGGAGTGCTGCATACAGATGTGCAACCAGCACAAGAGAAAAAGGGGGGCTTCAGGCAACGCCGCTGGATGGGTGGAGCTGCCTGAGCTTTTTAAAAATGAATGTCTACATGCTGGACTCGAAGCTGCAGGATTTGGTGTTTGCCCAGCTGGGTTTCAGGCTATCTTTGGTAATTCACTACGCCTCAATTTCTCCCTTTGGGGAGGGAAGTGTATCCTTTATACCCCCTTATGCTGAAAGTAGATAATTCGGTTTTGTTTGTTTTTACAGTGGGTCACAGTCAACAGGTTGCCTTGAGTCTCAGGCGATACTTTGGAACACTGTTGTGACTGTTAAAAGACTACAGGATTCTGCCGGGCGGTGGTGGCACATGCCTTTAATCCCAGCACTCGGGAGGCAGAGGCAGGAGGATCTCTGTGAGTTCGAGGCCAGGCTGGACCGACAGCCTCCAAAACAGAGAAACCCTGTCTCGTAAAACCAAAAAAAAAAAAAAAAAAAAAAAGTTGAACCATCTTGCATCATGAAATAGCCATGGGCATTTTGGGGCGAGGGAGACATGCTGTGATTTCAATAGGAAGCTCTTATGTTTGAATACCTGATCTCCACCAGTGTGTGGCACTGTTTAGGAAGGCGTGGAATCTAGGAGGTGGAGCCTCCCTAGAGGAAGAGTCACTGGGGAAAGCTTTAAAAAGTCTAACACAGACGCTCTACCACTGAGCCACATCACCAGCCCGACAAAGATGGCTTTTAATGTGCATTTTATGAATCATTGGTGCTGCTGGGCATGGCTGCCCATGTTTGTAATCCCAGAATTTGGTGAGGAAGCTGAGGCAGGATTGCCACAAGTCTGAGCCCACCCAAGGCTACACAGTGTGAGACTCTCTCTCAAAGGAGCAACAACAACGAAAAGTCAACAGTACTTTATCTTTCCTAGGTCATACCTTTTTGTGAGTAACTAACTTATTAAAGTGTGACACTCTTCTGAGAATTCACACATAAGCAGTTCCACATGCAATCTTAACATGTTCAGGAAGCCTACAGAATTTGTTAAAGATGCCTTGTATTAATATTTATATTCGGGCTCTCCTCACTCCCTCTCTCTTTCCTTCCTTCCTTCCTTCCTTCCTTTCTGACTGGCTTATTTTTGAGAGCATGTACCTTTCGCTATAAACCAACCAACTAAATAAAAAATGGTCTAAAAAATACCATCATATACATAATGGTAATGCCAACCAACATGGTTGTTTGGATTGCCATCTTTTTGCATATAATACATATTGTCTCAGTAGATACATATACTCTGAACAGATATGGAACTAGGGAAACCCACAACTTTTTCCCCCCAAGCTGGACAGAAATCCATCCAAGAGCTCAGAGGTACCCAGAGGCCACAGCAAACAATGTGCTCTGGTTTGCAGGCCATTGTCTTTTCTGCACTGTCAGGGTGCCAGCCTGAGTTGGCAAGTAGATAGCCTCCCTCTGAGCTGTGCTATGCCAGTGTCTGCAGTGGCGCCCTTACATGATCTGCATCCTATCCTGTCTGCCATTGTGTAGCTGCATAGGGCTGCCACTGTCCTGTGTGATCTGAGAGGACTCCCAGAACCCATGCCCTGAACACTTTCTCCTACTCCATTCTTAAAGTTCAGGGCAAGCAGCCCAATCCTTGCTAAGGCCTGCATCTGTTTCCACAATGTTCTTGCACATTTCCACTGAACAGCAGAGAGGACCCAGAAACGTAGGTCTGAGTACTTTATGCCTTTGGCCAAGAAGCTAGTCTCAGCTCCACAATGTGTAAACTGGAGAAATGGGAGCAGCCTCAACAGAATCATTTTGAGGAGTAAAGAAGGTGTGTTTATTAGTAGGCGCACACACACACACACACACACACACACACGGTGACCTGGAAGGAAAAGGAAGAGCCCACATCTACCCTCAGACACCTGGGCTAGCGAACAGTTGTGTGGGGAGCCAGTCTGCTACTTTCCATACATGGTCACACAGGGTTCTGATGAGTTTCTTCTTGGATTTATGTCTGCCCTCCTGTTCTCTTTCTATCCCCCCACCTCCAGCCATCGACCTACAGCCAGCACAGAGCTTTTACCCAACCTGCGCTGCACTGACTTTCTGTGTTCAGAAAGGCAAGGAGACATAGTCAGTTCCTAGAGAAAGACTTGAGCTGTGTCTAGGCTAATGAGTTTGCTAAGATGGTATCACATGGACTTATCTCTAAAATCAATTGTTTTCTACCCTTGTAACACACACACACACACACACACACACACACACACACACACACAGCTGTAACAGAATTGTGAGCAGGGTACCATTAGGTGAACAGTTAGCTAATGTCCTTTGCAAAAGCTAAATGTCAGGTTCTTTGTCACCAGTAAGATTGGTTTTTCTTATAGGCCAAGAAATAGTCTCACTAAAAATAAATAAATTTTTCCTTAGAAAATAAAGACTTCTTCCTGGTATCATGGTAAATGCCTGTAATCCTAGCACTCGGAGAGGGTAAAGAAAGAAGAACATAAACTGGCCTACAGTGCAAGTTCAAGGTCAGCCAGGGCAATTTAGCAAGCCCTTGAATCAAAATCAAAAATAAAGGGGGAAAAGAGATTATGGATAGCTCAGTGGTGGAGTGCTTGGCTAGCATGTGTGAGGCGAGGTTCTGGGTTTAAACGTCTATACAGAAACAAAGGGAGGGAGGGAGGGACGGAGTGAAGGGAAACTACTCAATTAAGTGGGTGATAGGTAAAGGTTCCTCTGAGGACTGGGGAGGACTGTCAACAGGAAACTGTTCTAGATCTTTAGAGGAGAAGGTGGGTCACAGGCCTTTCGCCAGTGTTATTCTCACACTGATCACTATTTAAACTTTAAAATTCAAGACAATTCTGCAGACAAAGGTTGGAAGCACATTGGAGAAAGACCCTTTCCTAGCCAGGAGGTGGTGGCGCACGCCTTTAATCCCAGCACTCGGGAGGCAGAGGCAGGCGGATCTCTGTGAGTTCGAGGCCAGGCTGGACCGATAGCCTCCAAAACAATACAGAGAAACCCTGTCTCGTAAAACCAAAAAAAAAAAAAAAAAAAAAAAAAAGACTCTTTCTTGACATCTCAGGGTCCCAACTATGTGTCTGGCAGCAGATATGTAATGTCTCTGACCTCAGTTATCCTGTCCCTGTCCAGACCAAGGGACTTCAGTAAGAGCTTTGGGAGCCACAGGATGCCCGGATGAAGGCTTCTCCGTGTTCTTCTGCATGTGCTGACTAGTCTTATGTCAACTTGACAAGCAAGCTAGAGTTTTCTGAAAGGAGGGAGCCTCAGTTGAGAAAATGACTCCATAAGATCCAGCTACAGCATTTTCTTAATTAGTGATTGATGGGGGAGGATCCAGCCCACTGTGGGTGGTGCCATCCCTGGGCAGATAGATGGTCCTGGGTTCAATAAGAAAGGAGGCCGAGCAAGCCATCTGGATGCACTGCCTCTGCATCGTGTCCTGTTTGAGTTCTTGTCCTGACTTCCTTCAATGGTGAACAGTGATGTGGAAGGGTAAACCAAATATATCCTTTCTTGCTCAAGTTGCTCTTTGGTCGCAGTGTTTCGTCAAAGCCATTGAAACCCTAAGACAGGCAACAACCCAGAGAAAAGGGAGCTGAGACCAAAGCAGACTTTAGCACCTGAGCAGAACTCTCAAAGGACCTATGTCCTTTACATGGCGCTTTCATGAGAAATGGTGGGAAGTGTGTCCAAAGGTCTGGAAGGGCCCTGGACTCCCGGATCACCAAGACAGTCTCCAAGAAAGCAAGCGACAACTCAGAATCACCTGCAAACTTGGTTAAAAGCCTGCTCTCCTCATAAGGAAGCTGTTATGTGAATTGTATATTTTAAGACAAGATAGACGACAGGAGGGAAAAAAAGCCTGCTCTCCTGGAGGTTCTGCAGGTGCAGTGTGGAGACCCAGGACTAAGATTTTTGTATCAGCTGCCTCAGAGTTTCTTACAGCTTGGGGATGTTCCTGATGAGGTAATCTCAGGGAGCCAGGGACATGGTATTAGGGGCTAAACTGTGTCCCCGCAACAAGCAGATGCTGGTCTTTACTCTTCCCACACACAATGTCTTAGACTTTGGAGACAAAGTTGTTAAAGAAGAGGTTATGTTAAAATAAGGGGTCCCCATAATAGAACTGGTACCCCATAGAAGGTGAAGAGCCATCAGAGTGGCCACAGAACTTTGACCTTGTAAAGCCATGGTGATAAGGTGACAGGGATAAGCCAAGAGTGGCCTCCAGTATGCCAACTTTGAGCTGAGACTTTGTGCCTACTATGAGAAAGTGTCTATTGTTCAGCCACCCCCACCCTAGCAAACGCATATGACACCCTCAGAACAATGAGAAATACATCTGAGAAAAACAGCCTTGTGTTACACACACAGTCAGCAGACCCTGTTTTGTTTGGTGTTAGGTTAACAGCGTTACTTCAAGCAAGGCATAGTGGTGCATGTCTTTAATGCCAGCACTCAGGAGGCAGAGGCAGGTGGATCTCTGTGACTTGAGGCCAGCCAAGAGCTCTGGGATAGCCAAGGCTGCACAGAGAGACCCTGTCTCAAAGAACAATAACAAAACCAAAAAAGCTTCACTTCAAATTAACCCCTTAATTTCCTTGCTAATGGGTTATAAACAATGCCTTGAAGTTAAATTTAATACCATCATGTAATTTTCCCACATCTCAGAGTTCTGGGGGAACATCCATAGAAAGAATACATTTGTATTTAAAGACCAAATATGATGAAATAACATAAAGTGAAATGTAACAGGAACCCAACAGAAAAATTATGAATCCTTACCTTACAATTGTTGGGTACAGCTCTGCCATGTAAATATAAATGAAGGCAAATGTTGACTCTATAGCAGTTTTGACAACCAAAACCACCACCCTCTTCAAATTCATGTGACTCTGAGGGCACACAAAAGGGGAAAATTTGATGTTATTAAAATTACTGAAAACCTTCTTATTCCATCAGTGTGCCTTAAAACAACAAAGAGTTTTAATTTTCCTATGTAAATAGGACCTCCCTAACTCTGGCTAGATAACCAGTATACCACAAAAACTTACTCTGAGAATATAATTCATAATAAGTCATAAGGTTTAGGGAGCTTTGTAAGAGCACTGGTGTCACTGTTATTGTAGACAATACTTGTTAAATGAATTGGTGTCCTGTTTTGTTTCTGCTTCTCCTGGCCTAGAGATTAAACACTGGGCCTCCACACACCAAGCAATCAAATTACCACTGGGTACAGGTCCAACCCCAATTAGCATGAACGAACAACTAATTATTTGTACTGTGTTGACATTATCTTTGAGGGAGAAATTTTATTAAGGGAAATACATTTGAAGTTGTGAGTTACTATCTCATTTCTAGAAGTTTCCAGCAGTCACCCTCCTTCCTTCCCTCCTACTAAGAAATGTAACATTTTTAGATTCTGCTGGATCCAAAAGTGGCTGCCATCAAGTCAACTCAGCTACCTTTTAAAGGCCATGGTGTCGATGACCCCTTGTGCTTCTTTGTATCTTCCTTCTGAGAGCAGCCAGAGAGGGGTCTCTGGGAGCATCCAGCAGCACAGGATGAAAGGCACAGTCAATGTGCACAGGATGAGCTGATAAAGCCACCAGGTGTTGCCCAAATAGCTTACCAACGCCACCAACATTACTCCAGCAGTGACGAAGGTGTGCAGATGCATGGATGCCCATGCGCGAGACTTCCTGCCGATGAATTCTATCACGTGGACAATGGCCACAACAAGAGAGCCACTTGCAGCCTGAGGGACAAGGAGACAGTAATTATGGTACAGTTACAGTGAACGAGAGGTCAGAGCTCTCTGCAAATTCATTCCGGTAAAAAATAATCTTTCTTCTTTACACAGGTCCTTTGACCTTTCTCCATCCTCCCTACCTCAGTAGCAAACTTGGAAGACCACTTACGATAAAAGTATTAGATGCCACTTTGTTTAATAAGAGTTCCAGTACAAGGCAGACTTATTTCTGTTTCTCCTGAAAGTGCCTATCTATGTATCTGTATGCTGCTGTTATATCCTAATTGTAAAATGGGGGCAAGATTTTGTGTGAACTAGTAGGAGGAAAAGTAGGCTTGGTTAAAACTTCATTTTGACAGGCAACAACAGCAACAATAAGCCAACTGTATTTGATCAAAGATAAAACTTCTGTATTTCAAAAAAATACTACCAATACTACCAACAGCATAGTAAAACCTCCTACAGAATTAGAGAAAATGCATGCAAGTGGTGTGTCTGGTAAAGGATTATACAAAGAACTCCTACAGCAAAACAAAACACCCAGAAGACCAATTCAGTTCAAAAATGGACAGATGACTTTTGAGCGGGCATTTCACAAAAGTTACTTAAGTGGCCGAAAGCACTTAAGAAGGTTGTTGACTTCACTGTCGAATAGAGGCAGGTCAGACCTGTGGTGACACACCCTCACATCCTCTAAGACAGGACCCAGGGGCTGAGGGGATTGATCAGTGGTTAGGAACGCTGGCTTCTCTTCAGAGCACTGGGGTTTGACTCCCAATATCCACATGGCAACGCACAATCATTTGTAATTCTAGTTTGATCAGATCTAATGCTCTCTTCTGGCCTCTGAGGGCACCGCGCACATGTGATACACAGACATACAAAACACTCATACACATAAAATAAAAACAAATGTTCTCAAATATACCAACTAAAAAAACAGAAAAGAATGCTGGGGTGTAGAAACGTTGGAGTCCTTGTACACTGCTGGTAGGAGTGTAAAATGTAAAATGGCCTCTATGGAAAGCAGGATGCCAATATCTCAAAAAATTATAAATATCACAAGATCCACTAATCCTACACCTTGGTACATAGCCCCCCTCCAATAAGTGAAAGGGAAGCAAGACCCTGAGAAAGTGTTCCTGCACCTATGTCAACAGCAACAAACTCACAATAGCTAAAATACAGAAGCAACCCAGATGTGCATCCTCAGATTCATATATACGTCTGTGGGATACACAGAGAACTGTTGTGCAGTCTTAAATACAAAATAAATTCTGGTATGCATGAAAGATGAATTAACTTTGAGGATATTGCACTAAATGAAATACGAGAGTTACAAAAGAATAAAAGTTATCCTGTACCGCTTGAGATAGTGTCTACTAGTCAACATCATAAAGACATACTGTCCTGCTTACCAGGGTCTATGGAGAGGAGGAAGAGTGAGTTATCATTTAGAGGCCAAATAGTTTTGGTCTTGTAAATGACAAATGTTGTTAAATAACTTACCACAATAGAAATTTGGTAATTTTTGTATTTTGAAAATCATGTTGTTTTACTATTGTTTTATTTATCGCTACACAGTCCAGGTTAGCCTACAACCAGTGAGCTTCCTGCCCAGTGCTGAGAATATGGCCTGCACTACCACTTCTGGCTAAAATATGCCTCACTTTAATTTAGCAAAACTCGGATTATAAAAGGTTATCTCCATGCTCTTGGGATGAACAAAGATTGAAGCAAATGATCAGTTCTAGATGGTCATGGTGTCATGGGGAGATAGAGAAAGGCAGATCTCTATGAGTTCAAGGCCAGCTAGGGCTGCATAGTGAAACTCTGTAGCAGAAAAAAAAATACGTACAAAACAAAGTAACAGTTTAAGAGTGGTCACAGAAATTAATTTTTCCTACAGTTGTTTCATGTTGTACTCTAACAGAAAAAGTAGTAAAGTTAATGGGATTATTAGGATTTGGTTGGGGTTTGGGGTTTTGGGGATAGAAAAGGCTTGTTTTAACTTACAATTCAAGGATCCAGTTCATTTTAACAGGCCAATCAAAATCCAGGAACTTAAAACAACTAGTCGCATCACCTCCACAGCAGGGAGAAAAAGGGAATGAAGGCAAGCGTGCTTACTTGTCAGTTTGACACAAACTTGGGAAGGGAGTCTCCGTGAGGGGCTCTCTAGATCAGGCTGGCCTGCAGACATGCCTGTTGGGTGGTCTCTGTTACTTTCACTGATGTGGGAAGACCCAGCCTGAGAGTGGGTTGCGTCTCTTCCCCAGCTTGGGTCCTGGGTTGAGTAAAAGAGGAGCAGCTGAACTAAGGCGTGTAGGTATTGTTACTGTTGTTGCTGTTGCTTTATGCACATGGGTATTTTGCCTGCCTATACATCCGTGAGCCATAGTGCATGCCCTCTGCCCAGAAGAGGCCAGAAGAGGGTGTCAGATCCCTGGAGCTGTAGATACAGACAGTTGTGAGCTGACTTGCAAGTGCTGGAATTGAACCTAAGTCCTCTGGAAGAGCAGCCAGTGCTCTTAATTGCTGAGCCATCTCTCCAGTCCACACATGTTAACTCTCTACTTGTGACTATTGGTGTGATAAGTTGTTTCAAGTTCCTGCTTTGATTTCCCCACAATGATGGACTCTAATCTGAAATTGCAAGCTAAATAAATTCTTTCTTCCTGAAAATTGCTTTGGGGCAGGGGGCATTTCATCACAGCAATAAAAATGAAGCCAGAAGAATCACTTATGTATTGCAAAATTATCCTAGAACAGCACTGATTTTCCCAAAGGTCCCTCTTAATCCTATTTTTTTAAGAATTTCATGTATAGAATGAGGCTTGTCGCACCGGAGCTGCCGCCACCACCGCGCTTCCTCCTGCCGGCTCCGCAAGCCGCCTCCTATCTCTCTGCCGTCCTTGTCAGACCCAGCCTCCAGCGCCGTCTCCTCCCGTCTGCACGCCATGCCTCTCTACTCCGTTACAGTAAAATGGGGAAAGGAGAAATTTGAAGGTGTAGAATTGAATACTGATGAATCTCCAATGGTGTTCAAGGCCCAGCTTTTTGCACTGACTGGACTCCAGCCAGCCAGACAAAAAGTTATGGTGAAAGGAGGGACCCTGAAGGATGATGACTGGGGAAACATCAAAATGAAAAATGGAATGACTGTACTAATGATGGGGTCAGCAGATGCTCTTCCAGAAGAACCCTCAGCTAAAGCTGTCTTCGTAGAAGACATGACAGAAGAACAATTAGCAACTGCTATGGAGTTACCATGTGGATTGACAAACTTTGGTAACACTTGTTACATGAATGCTACAGTTCAGTGTATTCGTTCTGTGCCTGAACTCAAAGATGCCCTTAAAAGGTATGCAGGTGCCTTGAGAGCTTCAGGGGAAATGGCTTCAGCACAGTATATTACTGCAGCTCTTAGAGATTTGTTTGATTCCATGGATAAAACTTCTTCTAGTATACCACCTATTATCCTACTGCAGTTTTTGCACATGGCTTTCCCACAGTTTGCGGAGAAGGGTGAACAAGGACAATATCTTCAGCAGGATGCTAATGAGTGCTGGATACAAATGATGCGAGTACTGCAGCAGAAACTAGAAGCCATAGAGGACGACTCTGTTACAGAGACAGATTCTTCTGCATCAGCAGTGACACCTTCTAAAAAGAAAAGCTTAATTGATCAGTTTTTTGGTGTCGAGTTCGAAACTACCATGAAATGTACGGAATCTGAAGAGGAGGAGGTCACCAAAGGAAAGGAAAATCAACTTCAACTTAGTTGTTTCATCAACCAAGAAGTTAAATATCTTTTTACAGGGCTTAAATTGCGACTTCAGGAAGAAATTACTAAACAGTCTCCAACATTGCAGAGAAATGCTTTGTACATCAAATCTTCTAAGATCAGCCGGCTACCTGCTTACTTAACTATTCAGATGGTTCGATTTTTTTATAAAGAGAAAGAATCTGTGAATGCCAAAGTTCTCAAGGATGTTAAATTTCCTCTTATGTTGGATGTGTATGAACTCTGCACACCAGAACTTCAAGAGAAAATGGTCTCTTTTCGGTCAAAATTCAAGGATCTAGAAGATAAAAAAGTGAATCAGCAACCAAATGCAAATGACAAGAAGAATAGTTCCCCAAAAGAGGTCAAGTATGAACCTTTTTCATTTGCTGATGATATTGGCTCCAATAATTGTGGATACTATGACTTACAAGCAGTGCTAACTCACCAGGGAAGATCTAGTTCTTCAGGTCATTATGTATCATGGGTGAAAAGAAAACAAGACGAATGGATCAAGTTTGATGATGATAAGGTCAGCATTGTAACACCAGAAGATATCCTGCGGCTGTCTGGTGGTGGAGACTGGCACATTGCTTATGTTTTACTTTATGGGCCTCGAAGAGTTGAAATAATGGAAGAAGAAAGTGAACAGTAATCTTCAATTTAGCTATTTATGCATAGGTGTGAAATAAATGGTTTTTTTTGTTGTTGCTGTTGTTGATCATTTCTATAATCTTGAGCTCTAAAGGGAACAAATGAGAACAGAACCAGGCCTTAAGACTAAAGAAAATTACATTTGGGTGCTATCCTGTATAAGGGTAGCTGGAAGACATTCTTTAAAAGCTCATTTCTTGCATTAATTCTTACAAATTCCTAGCTGAAGTCCATTTTTTTCCCCTTGCCCTTTTAGCTCAAGATTTAGCAATGATGTTTATTGCACACCTACTTGTTGTTCTTGCATGGTTAATATCACCATTCAGTAGCTGCCCGTCCTTTGCCTTATCTAACGAATATTTTTCTAGAAAGGTGGAAAAGGAAGTGTTGCTCTCATGGTGTAACTCAGTGCTGCTGTCCACATCCCATCAACTGGGTACAATCAAGTATTTGTCCAGACTGACTGTTGCTGGCCTTTCATGACTTTAAAATAAATTGTGATCAATAAGAAAAAAAAAAGAATTTCATGTATAAGTACTATATCTATTCCTCTCCTCTCCCCCTCCAACCCTTCTCATGCCCCTCTCAAATTCATGATCTCTTCTTCAATTATTATTGTTATACACACACACACACACACACACACACACCACTCAAAATCTGCTGAGTTAATTTGGTATTGCTGGTATCCATATGTGCTTAGAATGACCACTTTGGATTTGATAACCTCTGGGGGGGGAGCTTATCCTTAAAGAACACTGCTTTCCCCTCCCTTAGTGACCATTCATTTCCTTCAGTATTCATCTAGGGCCGGAGTGCCAGCTGGCGTTGTCACTGTGTGGACTTGTTTAAGTGACCATGTGATCAAGACTCCGTGGGTTCAGCTCCCACTTGTGTAGAAGACTATCCGTCTCAAAGCCGACTTCCTGGTCCTCGGCTCTTACAGTCTTTCTGCCCCTCTTCAGTGAGCTCCCTGACCCTTAGGTGCAGAGGTCATGTTGTAGGTGTACCGGTTAGGGCTGTGCACTCCATGGCCAGTTGTTGTCTGCGTCGTAACTGGGTGTGAATTTCTGTGCAGTCTCTGTCTGCCGCAAGACAGGCTTTTTTGCTGAGGGGTGAGAGCTACGCTTACTTATGGGTTTGAGGATAAGTATTAAAATGTGGTTGGGGGTTATAGTGGCTTAAGAGAGCGGTGGCTGTAGATTCTCCTCTAGGGTGACTTCACCAGTCACGGGAAGTTGACTAGATCCACATACTAGCTCAGGTATCTCACTGAACGAATATATTTGTAAGTTGTATGCTTTTATGTGCAAATTTTATTCAATTGACATTAAAAGAATATTGTGTACTCAGTCAGGCAGTGGTGGCATACTCCTTTAATCCTAGCACTTAGGAGGCAGAGCCAGATGGATCTCTGTGAGTTCAAGGCCAGCTTGGTCTACAGAGCAAGTTCCAGGACAGCCTGGGCTATTACACAGAGAAATCTTGTGTCATGGGGGGAAATGTGCACTCATGATCCCACACACATGATTTTAAAATAAATTATTTTCAAGAAATCAGTGCTGCGGCCACAGGAAACCTGTCTGGGCCTCTCAGCCAGCTTCCATCACTACGGGTACTTACACTCCATCCTGCTGAGACCATTGGCAACCCAAGGAGACAGGTGTAATCATCTGAAGCTTACAGGCTATAAACTGTGACTCAACGGGGCTAACCTGTGCTCAGAAGGGCAAAGCTGTCAAATTCACACACACCCATGGCTCTCCCGACTCTTCATAACCCATGCACTGAACTCCTGGAAGCCAGTGACAGAAAGGGAGAAATGATGAGCAAGGAATTAAGACTGGGTTGGTTTAACCCATAGAAACAGTTGACCTGAACAAGGGGGAGCTCTTGGTCCCCAGATTGATGGCTGTGTGGAAAGCATGGGACTGACTCAGACCCCCTGAATGTGGGTGTCAGGAGGCCTAGGTAATCTATGGGGCCTAGGGTAGTATTTATCCCTGGCATACAAATAGACTTTGAGTGCCCATCCCACAATGAGGGGTGCTCTCTCAGCCTGGACTCTTAGGGGAGGGCCTAGGCCCTGACCTGGATGAAATGACAGACTCTGGAGATCTACCATAAAGGGCCTCACCCTCCCTGGGGATCAGAGTGGAGACTGGGTGGGGGACTGGGGTCCTGGTGGGGAGGATGGGGGAGGAGGGGAGGGAGAGGGAGCTGGGATTACCATGTGAAACAAGCTTGTTTCTAACTTAAATTTAAAAAAAGAAAAAATAAATAATGTTGAATAATGTCATGATTTACCATTATGAAGTTTGAAAATAAAGAGTTTAAAGTGACATTAAAAAAATGTTCTAGAACATGAAGATTTCTTTTAAATTAAATCTACTTTGTCTAAGTTCCTCCAATATATCTTCTAATTATTTAAAAGAATATTTACCTCTCCATATTTATTTTTCATCAAACAAAATTGCTTCCTATATTGTTTAACATGATTTTTCAGATGTAACATCTGCAAATAATAATCATATTACCTCTTTTTAATGTCTAATTTCCTTTGTCTAACTGAATTTGGTAGCACATACAGCCTACTGTTAAGGGGAACTAATTGTTACTAGACATCTTTTCCTTGCTTCTGTCTTCAATGGAAGCATATATTATCTCTCCATTATGTTCATTGCTGGGCTCCATGCTAAAATAAATGCATATACTCATGAATGAAAGTGTTCTTCTGTCGCTGGTTGACTCCATCCTCCACCAAGAATGAATATCAGCTTTTATCAAATGTCCTCTTAGTTCCTACAGAAAAGACAATAATTTCCTCCTCATAATAATAGATTGCCTGACTGTGGTAAAACCTTGCAACCCTGCAATAATCCCTAGCTGTCAATGCTAGACTCTGTTAATGTGCTGCTAAAATCTGGTTACTAATGTTTTATGCTGGATTTTTGGGCTGGTATTCATAACTGAGCTTTGGTCTACGATTGACAGTCTCTTCTTTTAATTTAAATTTTATATTATGGATATATGTATGTTTATACACCACTTGCACGCTTGGTGCCTGCAGAAGTCAGAGAGGGCACTGGGTCCCCTGGAGATACAGGCAGTTGGGAGCTGTCATGTGAAAATGGGCAATCAAATCCAGGTCCTCTGGAAGAGCAGACAGTGCTCTTAACCACTGAGCCATCTCTCCAGCCCTCCTCTTTTTTTTTATTCTTTTTTCTACCAGTGTTTTTAGTTAGACATGAATAGGTTTCAATGGCCTCAGACAAAGATGAGTTTATTCTTTCAAAAAAGTTACCATTATAATCATCAGGTGTTAGAATATCATAAATGAGGAAATAATCATAGAAAACAAACATCTAGATTCAAAATTTTCAACAAATATTACTCATAAAAAACAGAAAAGTAAGCAACTGGGGACTAAATGTTAACAAGGAACTAGTTAAATAAATTATGGATGGTTCTAAATGATAAAACACAATGGAGTTTTGAAAGTGGCATGTCCTCAGTTTTCTGAGATGGTTAGTAATGGGAATTTTTTTACCTTGTGGTGAATCATACATAGTTTCCAAGTAGAAGCCATAGTGTAGCTGTGTACCAACATGAAAGGACATTCACAATATGCGACAATGTGTGGTCCAGAAAAAATATGACTCCCAGTTTTTGTAATGGGTACTCCCATGTGGGTAGGTTGAAAGTGATTTTGAGGGGCTAACTTAATTTTGGACCATATTATTTACGTTTTCTTATGCTTATTTCCCAGATTCCCAGAGTGATCAAAAACTACTCATTATGGGTGCTACACAAGGTTAGGGTCAGGTGTTTCCGGGTTCTTGGCCTCTTATCCAAACAACTGAAAATAAAGTTCACACAAACTTATAAAACAGGAAGTAATTCCATTCAACGAGAAGCAATAGTGCCCATTAGGAAGACACATTGGCAAGGTTGGCAGCAGCTACGTGAGAGAGGACTAAAGGGACCCAGGCGGCCTCGGTCTCTTTTTTAGAATCTACAGGAACACAGAGCCACACTCACTCTTGACTTTTTTTCCTGTCAACTGCTTTTATTCCAGCATTTTACCAGAAAAAGTAACTGTTACAATACACAATTTTAAATACGCAATACAGCACCAAGGAAAGAATACATACAGCAAGACTAAAAAGAAAATAAATAGATTTTCTACATTCTATCTTTGATATATAAAAAGAGAAGCAAAGTCAATCACAAAACATTTGTTCTTCATAGTGTGCTAAGCTGATGCTCTCTTCCTTTGCAGTGTATTTAAACAAGAAACAGAAGAAAGAAAAAACGCACATTCATTAAAACATTTTTCTATCCAAATAAAGAATGAAGAAAGTAACTTTATTTGCAGACAACCTGATCTAATTATGTAGAAAACCATATAGAAATGTTAAATTTAATGAGCCATTTAGATAAAGTTGCAGAAAGAGAAGAAATTCTGGAATCTTTGGGAACACAATTTGTTTCCAGATAGATTTGAAGTCAGCACACTCACAGTGATCTGAAGAAGTTTCCAGCTCCCAGGGGACCGTGCCAGTAGGAAGGGACTTCTAGCATGGTCTGATTCTGGAGCAGGATCCCAGGATAAGGAACTCGTAAGTACCTGGATCCATTCTAGAACAACTCGCTTGTCTTTCTAGAGGACTTTCTGAAAACTGCGGACGCGGCTGAGAGCAGCGACAGGGCCAGCCGGAGCGGCAAACAGGGACAGCAGGGTTCTCGCCCCAAGGAACCCACGCAGCCTCTCAGTGTGGATGGAGTGTCTCCTGGAACTGGCAGGTGAAGGCACTCCAACCAAGATTCACCAGGGGTTAGACTTCTGCCTCTCAAACGCAATAATATTATTTTTAATTTAAGGCAAGTCCTAATTCACAGAAAAATGAATGTTAAACTCATAATGAGGTAAGGATTATTTAGACTGATTTTTATGGTGTGCATGTGTATGTGTGTGTGTGTGTGTGTGTGTGTGTGTGTGTGTGTGTGTACATGTGAGGACAATGCTCTCAAAGTCTAGAAGAGGAGAGTCACAGGCAGTTATAAGCAACTTGACATGGGTGCTGGGAACTGAACTGGGTCCTCTCCAAGAGCAGCCCGTGCTCCTAACTGCTGAGCCATCTCTCCATCCCCCATTGTTTTGTTTTGGTTTGCTTGCTTAGCTTTTTATTGTATTCAGTAGTGTGGAGGGAGGGGATGAGGGAGGGAGGGAGGGAGGGAGGGAGGGAGGGACGGAAGGAAGGAAGGGAGGGAGGAAGGAAGGGAAGAAGGAAGGAAGGAAGGAAGGAAGGAAGGAAGGAAGGAAGGAAGGAAGGAATGAAGGGGGGAGAAAGCATATACTACAGTACATGTGTGGAGGTCAGAGGTCAACATCCAGGTGTTGTTTCTTTTCTTAGTGGGCTCTGAGGATAAAACTCAGGTCATCAGACTTTTGAGGCAATCACTTTTGCACACTGAGCCATCTCACTGATTCTGTAAATTTCAATACTAAACAGTCATAAAACGATGAATTTATCCATGTTTTCAAAATTCAAAGTATTTGTGTAATCGCATGGTGATTTCCTCCAGTAGGCAAAAGAAGCCCAAGATGTGATATGGGGAAACAAACCAGGTTAGAACAGTAGCACAAACAGAACTCCTGCTGCTCCTGGGTGTTTAGTAACTAGTCCTTAATGGAAAGTGACTATGCATGTCTTCTGAGGGGGCTGCCTAGGATTAGTGATTGCCCATATTGCTTTGTTTTCAGGGGAAAACGAAATAATCAACTGTGTGAAGATTTTTATTTTTGTAGAAAAGCTTCAGTTGACTAACAATCCATTAGGGCCTGTAAGAGATAGAAATGGGTTCCATAACTGCAGCAGCATTAGATAATGGAGTTTTGAGACAGTACCATGCCATGGGAAAGCAATTGCTCTCAAAAATTCTGTGGCTTTCTGAATCGTGAAACAACCAGCCATTTCCGAAAGGTGTGAGCTCAGTGTGGCTGTGTTTGAAGTCCTGAGAGAAAGGGTCAGGACAAGAATTGAGAATACGTCTTGGAACAGGGTCCTGTGAGGCTCATTGCTAGAACGTGGCCGGCTGAAGGGCAGAGGCCCCAGCAATAGTGCTCCGTAATGTGTCTTCCCAAACTCTGGCTTTTGTAATTATGCCTTGCTCGGAACCTTCATAGTAGAAAGCAACAGGGTGGGTGAAAGGTTTATGAAAACATTGAATATATAGGAGGATTTCCTTCCAGTCATTTGGAACTGCCTGCCACCTTCTACAGCCATTGCTCAGAATGAGAACGAGGTCTTGTAACAGAATCAGGCCCCCATCCCTCGGAGTGTGGAAGAGCCTCTCATCCAGGACCCCTTTTACGCATTAAGGGACTTGTCAAAATCCACCCAGTCTTGTAGCAGCTGGCTCTGCAACACTTTAGGAAAAGGGGGAGTTGAACTCAAGGAAGATTGTTGGCACCTGTGTTACTTTGAATGTAATTGGCCCTACAGTCTCATAAGGAATGGCACTATTAAGTGTGGTGGTGTTGGAGTGGGCGTGGTCTTTATTAGAGGAAGTGTGTCACTGTGGGGGCGGGCTTTGAGGTTTCCTATGCTCAGAATACCACCCAGCGTGTCAGCCAACTTCCTGTTGCCTTCAAGATTTGGACTCTCAGCGGCTCCTCCAGCACCACCTCTGCCCCCACGCTGCCATGCTCCCCACCATGGTGATAACGGACTGAACCTCAACGCAATGTTTTCCTTTATAAGAGTTGCCGTGGTCATGGTGATTCTTCACAGCAATACAAACCCTAAGACAGCATCTATTCCAGATCTATCTTGGGATTGTGGGCTCCCTAGGCCCCACAATCCATGAGCAGGTGAGCTCACCTGTCTACCCAAAGTCACCCCCACCCTCCAGCCTACTGCAGCTCTAAACCAGTGTTAAATGAGTGAGTCTCTCAGGAAAGCCTGGGAACCCACCATATGGGTCAGCATTTTACTGGAACAGCTTGCCACTCTGTTTTCAACTCTTAAAAAATATTCTTTTTATTTCATATATGTGCACCATGTGCATACAAGTGTCCACAGAGGCCAGAAGTGGGCATCAGATTCCCTAGAAGTGGGGTTACATGCAGTTGTAAGCCACCAGATGTCGGTTCTGGGAGCCCAACCCAGGTCCTCTATGAGAAAGGCAAGTGTTCTTAACTGCTGAGCCGTCTCTTCAACCCTGTTTCAGCTCCTTCTATGGCAAACCCTTTGACTATCCACCTTCAGTCACACTTTTCATTCATCATTTGTGTGGTTGCCTCACTACCCAACCCCTCAGGCTATACTGATCTTTATTTTTTTAATTTTGTATAGATGGGTATTTTGTGTGTGTGTGTGTGTGTATACTTTTGTGAACACACACACATGCACACACACACACACATGTACTACATGAGTGCCTTGTGTCCTATGAAGCCAGAAGAGTTAGCAGGCCTTTTTGGACCGCCACTCCCCAAATCATGTCACAGAGTCTTACTATTAATTATGAACGCAACAGAGAATGTATCAGAGAGTTCCTGGAACTGGAGTTACACACGGTTGTGAGCAGCCATCGTGGGTCCTGAGAATAGAACCTGGGGCCTCTGGAAGAACATCCAATGCTCTTAATCACTAAGCCATGTCTCCAGTCCCTGGCCTTTCCTTCTTATTACAGCAAGAACATAGATGCAATCAGTAGAGAACTTTTGTGCACTTGAAAGGCCCCCAGAGTGGGGAAACCCTCACTCAAGTCTCGGGATAAGCCAACGCCCCAATAATTCAAGAGAGACCGTTCTTGCTGCAAGCACACGAGGTTTATTCGGGGAACCAGTGCACTGGGGCCGAGCTCATGACCCTCGCAGGGGCAGAGGAGTTCGACCCCTAGTCGCTGCAGTCAGGGGTTTTTAAAAGGGAAAAACCGAATCAGGGAGTTAGGCAAACATCATAAAGGATGAGAAGTTAAATGATAGCTTATGTCTTAACAGGAAGGTTATCTCAAGCAAGCATTCTTTGGGCATTGCACAGTTAAACATTGAGCAGGAATGTGGTGAGCTAGTTCCTGGATCAGGGAGGGTTATCTTTTAAGTTTATCTTGAGGTCTCCGGTTTCTCAGGAGAGGGCAGAAGGGCAAGTCACCCTGTGATGGGCTTGTCACTCCCTAAATGTTGAGTTGGGATCTCTCACACTCGTGCATCCATGCCTTCATGATTTGTTTTCCTAGGGCTGTAGAAGGCTCACTTAGCACTCAAGTGCCCAGGCCTGCAATACATAGCTAGGTCCCATGTTTTTTATTTATTTGTTTGTTTTTCAAGACAAGGTTTCTCTCTGTAGACCTGGCTGTCCTGAAACTAGCCCTGTAAACCAGGTTGGGCTCCCAAGTTTTGGGATTAAAACTGTGGGCCACCACTGCCCACCCCTACGCCCCATCTTGCCACTTGCTTCTGCACATCCAGCATCTAAGCCCTGCATCTCACCCCTCTCTGCTTATGATCTGCCAGCAGCACACCAGGCGCTTGTGTTTGCTTGGCCTGGCAACCTGCCTTCTTTCTACATCCCTCCAACCTGCCGGAGTCCTCGGTGGGGCTGACACTACCCTTGCTATCTCCAGTCGGCCTGCTGTTTTGAGCCCAACTCAGCCAGGCATTGTCCCACCAATGAACTCCATTTCCCGCAGACACTGGCTACCAGCATCTTGTCAGCGGCTTTCACAGACCAGATCACTCTTTCTGCCTGAGCACCAGGACCCACGGGCCCTAGATTCGTCCTGCCCCGCTGGCTCTTCTCAGGTGCTTGGCTGGAGCTTTTCCCCTGCCAGTCTGTCTTTGGCAAGCTAAGGTCCATGAAGCAGACTTCCCTCCCCTCATGCTCATTGTCTCATAGATCCAATGATGTCACCTCTGCACCGGAGAGTCCCACTCCAGCTGAAGCTTTGCCTAGACTGGTTCCCTGAGAAACCATTCAATGCTCATCCTTAACACGCTCACGTACACATGCATGTACATGGGGACACACACACAGGCACACTGACTCACACACACACACACACACACACACAGGCACACACAAGTATACAGGCAAAAGCAACTAAAGGAGAGAAAATCTTGTTTGGCTATCGTTCAGAAGAGTCTATCTGTCACATCAGGGCACAGCAGCTGTGGCAGCTCCAACTATAGTGACAGGGTCTTCTGGCTTCTTAGATCACAGGGGAGAGAAGAAGCAGGCTCAGCAGGACTCTCAAAGGCCTGCCCCCAGTGCTCACCTCCACCAGCTGTGCCTCTCGCCCCTAAGGCTTTCCAACCCCTCAGAACTGCACAAGCAGATGGGGACTGGAGAGTCAAACACACGAGCCTGGGGATGAGTCACATTCAAATCAGAGTTCACAGAAGACTCGGTGACTCCGATCTTCCCAAACTGCTCTGCTCCTGCTGTCCCAAAGCTACTTTTTACATTTACTCTTTATGTATATGAGTGTCTTGCCTGCCTACATGTATGTGTACTGCATGTATGTATGTGTATGTGGTACCCTCAGAGGTCAGAAGAGGGCATTGGATCCCCTGGCACTGGAGCTACAGGTGGTTGTGAGCCACCATTGCGGCTGCTAGAAACTGAATCCAGGTCCTCTGCAAGAACAATAAATGTTAGCTGCTGAGCTATTTCTTTTTTATTCTTTTCTTTTTTTAATGTGTCTTGATTGGGGAAGTCCTTCTGCGTATATGCTGTCTTATTGGTTTATTAAATAAAGCACTGTTGGCCAATAGGGAAGCAAGATAGGTGGGACTAGGAGTCGAGGAGGATTCTGGGGACTCGTCCAGGAGCAGAGGCATGGTCACTCACCATGTAGGACACCAGAAGAGTAAGAGGTGTGGACCCTTTCTCCGGTAAGAGAAGACCATGTGGAAACACTTAGATTAGCAGCTATGGGTTAATAATTAAGTCAGAGCTAGCAGATAAGAAACCAAGCAAACGGCCCACAGCTTCATGATTAATAGTGTCTCATGTGTTATTTGGGGGCTGAGATAGTGGCGGGACCCAAACTGGTGGGAAGGGTACATGTTACAATGTCCGGGGGTTTTGTCTGCACCATGTCTGTGTACCACTTGCATGCTGTGCCCATGAAGGTCAGAAGAAGGTGTCGGAAGCCCTAGGACTGGAGTTGTTACAGCAGTTGTGAGCCGCCAGGTGAGTGCTGGTAACAGAACTTGGGTCCCCATGGAGGAGCACCAAGATACCGAGCCAGTTCTCCAGCCCCAGACTATCCCAAATCTTGGTGATTAGCGTGTTCCTTCCTTCTGTTGTTTAGGCCCCGAATTTGTAATCTTCTTTGATGCTGCAGTGTAGCATTGTTCCTGAAGAAACATAAACAAAAACAAACGTAAACAAACACCTACAGAAGATTAAAGTAAGCATGTCACTGAAGTCCACCTGAGCGAACCAATGAGTTTACCAGTGGTCCTCACAGTTGTGTAGGGGATTGGTGTCTTAGTGTTCTATTGCTGTGAAGAGACACTGTGATCACAGAAACTCTTATAAAGGAAAACGTTTAATTGGGGCTGGCTTACAGTTTCAGAGGTTTAGTCCACCATCATCATGGTGTGACGTGGTAGCATGCAGGCAGAAACGACCTTCCGGCAGCAGAAGCGAAAGCGGCAGCTAGGCCCAGCTTGAGCATCTGAGATGTCAAAGCCTCATACTGACACAGTTCCTCCCACACAGCCACAGCTACTCCAACATGGCCACACCTCCTAATAATGCCACTCCCTATGGGTGAAGCATGAATCTATAGAGGGTATTCCCATTCAAATCACCAGAACTGGTTACTTGTAGGAGTGACTAAAAGACAGCATCACCATAGCCTACCCCCACATAGCTCACACAAGCTGGAACCCTGGAACTCACTGTACAATCTACAGGCAGCTGGGCAGGTTGAGGAGAATCTCTCCCAGGCGCTCAGTTTGTCTGATCTCAGCAGTCCTTATTCCTTATATGAGCTTGGAGAGGAATGAGCCTGGAACATCTGGTCAGTATCAGGGACTTCCTGAGGTTCTTCAGTTGTTTGCTTCCTGATGAAGCCTTCCTTTAGAACTTCCTGGCCGGGTGGTGGTGGCGCAGCTGGGTAGTAGTGGTGCACACCTTTAATCCCAGCACTCGGGAGGCAGAGGCAGGCGGATCTCTGTGAGTTCGAGGCCAGGCTGGACCGACAGCCTCCAAAACAAAACAGAGAAACCCTGTCTCGTAACAACAAAAAAAAAAAAGAAAAGAAAAAGAAAAAAGAAAAAAAAGAAGAAGAACTTCCTGGTCAGCTGGGCGTTGATGGTGCACACCTTTAATCCCAGCACTCAAGAGGCAGAGGCTCGTGGATCTCAGTGAGTTTGAGGCCAGCCTGATCTACAGAGGACAGCCTCCAAAGATACACAGAAAAACCCTATCTCAAAAAAAAAAAAAAGAAAGAAAGAAAGAACTTCCTGGTCCTAAGGAGCTGCCCTCCAGCACAGCAGATTTTAACTGCTGCTGTGTGCCTCCCCACACCCAATGTTTAGGTATCGCAAATCACATTGCATTTATCTCCCAGTCTCCCCATTTTTGTTTCTGCTTCCTGGCCCCTCGTCCACAGGCTGACAGAATGGATACAAAGACAGAATCCATCCTTCTGCTGAATACAAGAAACACACCTCAACTTCAAAGACAGACTTTACCTCAGAGTAAGGGGTTGGGGAAAATTTTTCCAATCAAATGGACCCAAGAAACAAGCTGGTGTAGCTATTCTAATATCTAACAAATTAGACTTCAAACTAAAGTCAGTCAAAATATAATCTTTTCATATTCATCACAAGAGAAATCCATCAAGATGAAGTCTCAGTTCTGAACATCTGTGCCCCCAAATACAAAAGCGCCCACATTCATAAAAGAAACATTTCTGTAACTCAAATCACACATAAAACCCCATACACTTACAGTTGGAGACTTCAACACCCCACTCTCACCACGGGACAAGAATACCAGACAGAAACTTAACAAAGAAATAAAGGAACTAACAGAAGAAATGATTCAATTGGTTTTAACAGACATCTATAGAACATTCCATCCAAACACAAAAGACTATGCCTTCTTCTCAGCACCACATGGAGTCTTCTCTAAAACTGACCATATATTCAGCAACAAAGCCTCTAAACGAGGAGGTGGGTTTATTACCATAGCTGACAAGAAGAGGACAATTAGCTGGGCTTGGTAAGAAGTTTCTGTAAGAGGCTCAGAAGGAAGGGGCTTTGATTTCTGCATATGCCTTCAGCTTAAGGTCAATCATTCTTAACATCTCTACTGGGACCAAAGGAAGTCTCTGCCATTCCCATGGGCCTGAATCATTTGACATGCCTGTGTTCTTGGCAATAACACATTCACTCAGTACCTCATCTGTGTCTCACAATTTATGAGATGTATGTACATGAAGCCACACATGCATACATACATGAATGCATGCATACATGCTGTAGCTGTTTGAATAAGAATGGCCCCCATAGATTCATATATATATTTGAATGCTCAGTCACCAGGTAATAGCACTATTTCAAAGGATTAGAAGATGTGGCCTTGTTGGGGGAAGTGTGTCACTTGAGGTGGACTTTGAGGTTTCAAAATCCCATGCCAAGTTCAGTATCTCCCACTTGCCTGCCAATCAGGATGTAGCTTTCAACTACATCTCCAACACCATGACTGCCATACATACTGCCATGCTTCCCAAGGTGGTGACCTGGACTAAACCTCTGAAACTGTGAGCCAGCCCCAACTAGGAGTTGCCTTGGTCATGGTGTCTTGTCACAGCAATAGAATAGTGGCTAAGACACATACACATATAAATATATTTCACTGGGCCTTTAAGGTTGGTTGGTTGTGTTTAACTAATAAAAGGTGTTTATTAATAAAAATAAACTGCAATATCACCTGTTTTCATTACAAGAGTAAAACGTGAGGGAGACCTGCCTTTTCTGTTAACTCTGAGAAGCTGTGCTGGTTGCATGCCTGCTCATACGCCTTCGGTCCCCTCTGCAAGAGCGACTGTGTGTCACCAGCACTCCCTGCGCGCATAGCGTCCTGCTGCAGGAAGCTGTGTCCCACTTGCCTGCTGCTGCCTGGAAGCCCCCACTGGGAGTGGGCTCTGAGCTCATGGAGACTACCTCCACCGTGAAAGGTATTCGGGAATGTCAGCTTTCCTGGGGTCTGAGCCCCTGTCCCTCAACGTTGCTCGGTTTCTCCTGATGCTCCTGTGTCCTGTGACTGCACTGGAAACATCGCGTATGGCCTACAGAAGCATCTAGAACTTGAGTGGGCTTAGGAAGAAGACGGCATCAATGAGAACTAGAATCTGCACCATCTGTTTGGGGAGTGTTGAGGATTATCTTCCCAAACTTCCCTCTCTAAAGAGCAACTGGGAAGTCTATCTGAAATTGTAACATCTGGATTAAAGCGTGCAGTCATGGGGTGCTTGCTGGGCTGTAGTGGCACACACTTTTAATCCCAGCACTCAGGAGGCAGAAGCAGGCAGATCTCTGTGAGTTCAAGGCCAAAGTGGTCTACAGAGTAAGCTCCAGGACGGCTAGAGCTACACAGAGAAACCCTGTCTCAAACAAACAAACAAATGAACAGAATATATACGGCACTTGGAGTGCAGTATCACAATATGTGACTATCAGGCGCAAAGCAAATTTTTAGAGACACCAAGTGATAGTTGTTGGGTGTGGCTGACCATGAACACAGCCCACACTGAACACAGCTGTCCTCGGAACTCTCTGGAAGGGCTGTGCAGCACTTTGGGAAGAGTGAAAGGAGCTATATCTCCCCTCAAGGACCTCCTGTAACCTCTCAGAGAGTGTGGTGTGTGTCCCTGGAGATTGTCAGTCCCGGGGACAGCTGACTCAGGACTGAAGAAGCTAAAGTTGGGAGGACACTGGTGGCTTTCACCTGGGGACAACAGAACAAAGGATGTTGTTACTTTGCAAATCTGCACCTAGAATAGTCCAGAACTCTCTTGGGGGAAAAAAGTTGGAGGATCTGCACTACCTAGTTTCAAAAAATTATTGTAAAGCTACAATAATTAAACAGCAGCAAAAGATTAGTTAACAGAACATCTAAAGAAAGACAGGAGTTGGTGTCTGGTCCCAGGGCAATTCAGTGGGATAAAAAATATTTTCAATAATTGGGGCTGAAACAACTGGATAGCCACACTCATAAAAAGAGTAAGAAGATGCTGAGCATAACGATATGAATCTTTAGCCACATCACATGGGCGGCAAAGGAAAATGGATCTCTGTGAGTTCAAGGTCAGCATGTTCTACATAGTGAGTTCATGGACGGGACTACATAGTAAGACATGGTTTCAAAAGGGGGAAGAGGAGGAAAAACTCTACCCTTGCCTCCCACTTATTTTTTAAAATGTGAAGCCGGGCATTGGTGGCGCACGCCTTTAATCCCAGCATCGGGAGGCAGAGGCAGGCGGATCTCTGTGAGTTCGAGGCCAGCCTGGTCTACAAAGTGAGTTCCAGGACAGCCTCCAAAGCTACAGAGAAACCCTGTCTCGAAAAAACCAAAAAAAAATTTTTAATGTGTAATTATTGGGAAGGGGTGTAAGAAAGAGAGAGGGCTCTGGATGTAAGGGCGTGTCCATGCCATGGTACCTGTGTGGAGTCAATGGACAACACTGTGGAGTCAGTTTTCTCCTCTTTGTGGGTCCTAGGGATCGAAGTCAAGTCATGAGGTTTATGTGGCAAGTGCTTTTACCTACTGAGCCATCTCACCAGCCCCAAATTTCAAAAAGTTTAAAGATAATTGTTCTACTTGTCTGCTTCTGAGTAACAATGTTATTAACAATGCATGTACACAGCATTTATTATCCCACATTTATTATCCCACAATTCCACAGGTTGGGAGTCTAGATCCTTTGCTGGGAGTCCCCACAGCCGCTGTCAGGCTGAGCTCTCCTGCAAGACTCAACAGGCTACAACTACTGGAAAAGTCAACTTGTGCAGTCACTGAACAGGACCTCACAGTGTGGCCCTCAGCTCCTAGATGTCACCCCAGATCCTTGTCATGTGACCGACCATCTGCTGTCGCATAGTCAGAGTCTCCAGCTAGATGGAGAAACTAACTGCTATCTTAGGTAACCCATGATCGTGTGCACCCTTCCGCTTTATAGTAGTCTGCTGCCTAGAGCCAAGCCACAGGTCCTGCCCACACTCAAAGTCAAAAAGCAATGCATAATAATGGGGGAAAACTCAGTTGCCCTGCCCTATGTCTGTAGATTCAACTAACTGTGAAATGAAAATTGGTGGCCACACGCCTTTAATCCCAGCACCTGAGAGGCAAAGGCAGGTGGATCTCTGTGAGTTCCAGGACAGGCTCCAAAGCCACATGAGAAAGCCTGTCTTGAAAAACATATATGTATGTATGTATGTGTATATATGTGTATATGTATATACACATACATATATGCATATATATGCACATACATACATACATACATACATGCATGTATGTATGTATGTATGTATATATGTGTGTGTATGTATGTATGCAGAGGAGGAAACACTTCTTCTGACCAAGCATGCATAGATTTACCTTCTTGTCACCTTTCCCTGAACGACGCTATCTGGTACCCACTTGAATAGCATATACTTTCTAGTCTATATTACAAACTACCTAAAGACGAGTCAAAGTGCAGAGAGAATACAAACAACTTGAGTCTCCCTGAAGGTCCTGGAAACCAAATTCCTGGGGATCTCTAGGGAGACTTGAGTTCAGGGCCATGCCGATCATCTGTAGACAAACACTTCTCGCAGACGGTCCTGTGTGCCCCGTCTGCTAGTATCTTTCCCATGAGTGGCTTTGCTTCTCTGCTCTCGCCCTAGCTCCTGACGGAAGGAGAGAGGCAAACCTGTCAGCATCATCGCACACACAGTTCCCAAAGGGTGGGCACAGCCAGCGGACAGCCAATGGGCAGCTTCCTGGGGCTTGTGTTCCGTTCAAATCCCAGCTTGTCTACTCGTGAGGAAATTGCCTCGTGAAATGATAGGAATTACTGTTATTTATAGGTGATACTAACTAGCACTACTGTGCTGTAAATGGCTACATCCGATAGGAAATAGAAATGAAGATGTTTTCTGTGGCAGCAATGTCTTCGCATATGCTGAAACATCAGGGTTCCCCTGAGCAGGGACTGCTGCTGCCTTGGATAAGGGTGACTACAGTCAAATGTGCATGTGGCCTCTTACCAGCCATCTTCCTCAGGCCGTCTCTCGCTGTCTCCTGCATGTAGTAATTATTATAGCCACAAGGGGGCAGAATGTGGCTGTGTATACTATTTGTTTTTTTTTAAGGGACAAAGTTATAGTACTACATTGTAAGATACACTGTGTTCCAGTCATGGTTTTAATTTGACTTTTATTTCCTACATACATGAATTAATTGTACTCTTTAAGGCAAGAGAGGTGGAAATCACAAATTCTTTTGGGAAAATTTTGTTCTTAGCCTATAGCTGGCTAAATTAGCGGCTTAATTCTCTGTTTAAAATGCCATGATTCATCGGTTTTCTGGGAGTCATTTCCTGCAGGTCTTAAAGAGGCCTTATGGCTCTAAATTGCTCTACATTCCTTATTCCTGTTATGCTTCCTGCAGGCCATCAAGTTCATGAGTTTTATTATAGCCTTGCAAATTAGTAGAAAAAATTTACTAGCCCATAAACATTTTCTCAGTTTCATCATACTCCTGGGGGCAGATTGGTAATGGAAGCTGAAGGTGCTGTTATTCATAGCTCACTCGGCTGTAAAACTGATGGTTATGCAGCCCACTTCAGGAGGAGTGTGTGGGATACTGGAAATGGGAGTGTGTGTCCAAATTAACCCACTGCTCAACACCTCACACATCCTATGGTAAGCGCAATATGCCCAGGTCTAACTTCAGTGGCAAATGGCGGTTACCCATACTGTGGTCTTGTAGAGTGAAGCCTTTTCCTTGCCAGCAGCTTTGGTTTTATCCCCCGCCAGTCTCCTGGGCTCTGCCACGTTGTAGTCCCCAAATAACACGCAAGACGCTGTATTAATTATGAAGCTGTTGGCCTTGCTTGTTTCTTACTGGCTAGCTCTGAATTAAGTATTTATTCTATAATTGTTAATCTAAGTATTTCTCTTACCAGAGAGGTTTCCGGGCTTCTTATCCCTATAGCAGTTACATCTTGACTCCCTGTGTTTCTCCTTCCCAGAGTCCTCCTAGACTCCTAGTCCCACCTATCTTGGTTCCCTATTGGCCAACAGTGCTTTATTGACAAATACACAGGACTTCCCCCATCATGGTCTGAATGTTTGTGTCTCCCAAAATTCATATATTTGGGGAGATGGCTCAGCTGATAAAGTGTTTACCACACAAGTATGAGAACCTGAATTCAATGCCCAGGACCCGTGTAAAAAAATAGATATGATGGTGTGGGGCTGTGGTCTGGGCACTGTGGAGAGTTAAAAGGGCAAATTCCTGGGGCGTACCGGCCAGCCAGCCTAACTAACTGTAAAGTTCAAGGCAATGAGAGAGAGAAATCAGGTCTCAATAAACAAGGGGCACAGTTCTAGTGGAGAGAAAGGGTAGTGTGGGGTTGTAAATATAGTTTCTTGTCGCCCTCTTCTAAACCCCAAATAAACATACAGAGGTGCTATATTAATTATAAACTGTTGGCTGATGGTTAGGGCTTCTTGCTGGCTAGCTCTGTCTTAATTATTAACCCATAAGTACTAACCTGTATATTTCTACATGGCCTTATCTCATTGGAGAATGCCTGACGTGTCCTATCCTCCCGGTCCCTCCATGACACCCCTTCTGTGCCCTCTCTGCCTACCTTTCCAGAATTCTCCTCGTCTCCTAGCGCCCCCACCATCTCCTATCTTCCTGCCTCTATCAGTCAAACAATGTTTTATTCGTCAACCAAAAAGAGAAACATACATACAGAAAGACATCCCCCATCATGGAGTAGCCAAAACATGGATACCCAGTATTCTCAGGTCTGTGCTATATTTGCTCATGTGATCTGACAAATAGCCATGACCTGCTGGGCATAGAAACTTCCTGTAAAGTGTGACCTATCAAGAACCTATCAAGAAGAGGGTTCTTCCCCGAAGTCGAGCTTGGATAAGCATTCTGAGTAATCAAGGGTTGACCTAAGACCCAAAAGCTGAGTGAGCACTGAAAGGGTTAACTAAACTCAAAGGCTTCACTTCTAATAATTTAGAAATAAAGAGACCAGACCCTCACTCAGCCCCCTGCTTTAGCAGCCATGACAGGCTATAGAAAAGACACATAGGCCTCTGACACAAGGAAACTCCAGATCCTCTAGCCTCCTGGAGCCTAGGGCCAAAACTGAACACAAAGAAACTCCAGAGCCCACCTAGCCTCCAGACGCTTGGTTCCTGGGAACTGTTTGACCACAAAAGAAGCTCCAGGGGAGACCAAAACCTCCCCTGTAGTCTCAGGATATAGTTCTGAAAACTATTGGTATCTATATACAAAGGCCACCTGCAAGTAACAAGACAATGCCATAGAAACCACAGAATGTTCCCTCTCAGCACTGACCAATGAGAATAACTTGTATTTCACTGCCAAAATATGACTTTGAGAAATTCTCCTAATTGTTCCCAAACGTCAACCAATCAGAAACCAACCCATACCTACTGATGTAATCCTGTAACTTTTGTCTATAAAACCTAACAGTAGACAGGGAACTTCACTCCTTCTGGAGGCTGCTAAGACAGCTTACTAGACAGGGTCCCTGTCATGGTTGGATGAACAATCAATAAAACCTTGCTTTTACGTTTTGGTGGGTCTGTCTTCCTGGTGGTCTCTGGGGATCTTTGCAACTTGGGCACAAGAAGCATGGTGGTTCATACCTGTGACCATGTGCTGGGGGACAGTGGCAGGAGGGTCCCCACAGGTTGCAGATCAACTACAGAGACGGAATCTGAAAAAAAAAAAGAAAGAAAGGAAAAAGAAGGAAGGGCCTTTGTTCCCTTCTAGGCAAAGAGAATCGTCACAGGCCAAACCTCACGACCACATGGACTGAGGACTTAAATGCCCCCCTAAAAAAAGAAAATGCCATTCTATTGGAGAAGAAAAGAACTATTGTCTAGGAGTTAGGTTTAAAAAAATCCTGTATAAACAGTCAACAGCTGTTCTTAGCCTTTGTTTTTAGAGCACAAGGGAGGGGGAGAGGGGGGAGACACACACATATGACATTCTTTCAAATGCAGTTTTTGTTTCAGAGCCCAGATTTTCTACAACTAATTTCCAACCCAGAACTAGGGCTTGGTTCAAAGTTTTGTTTTGAAGATTACAGACAACAGCAAACTTCAGTCAACCACAGAGGTCCAGACAGAGGCCGCAGCAGGCAGCTTCGCTGCACCGGTGGGGAGGCATGCATCTGCACCGCCTGCAGCAAGCCTGTGCTCGAAGGACCCGAAAGTGGGGCTCCCATTTCTTGGAGGGCATCAGGAAGACAGAACATACACCCACAGAGCGGCAAACAGCTCTTCAAGGCCATGTTTGACTTCAGCCCCTTAGCCCTGTCCATGTGAAAAGCTGTCCCACGGGACCTAGCCTCTAATGAACACTCCTCTGGTAAACAAGGGCATTATAGAGGTTTCCAAAGGGATAACTATCAGCTAAGTCCTGTAATCAGGAAGTCAGAGGGTAAACCAACAGTGAGACGAGGTCCTTCCTGTAAAGAAAGTTGGGGTGAGCCCTTACCTTTTCTGCCTTGCTAGTTCTATTAATGTTCTTTATCCCCCAAACCCAAGACAGTCCTTCGTAGAATTCTTACACCAGAAGTCATCTCTCTCTCCCTGTCTCTTTTTAAGTGACATATGCAGATGTCATTACAGTGAGAGACGGAACTTCAAACAGTCTTCTATTTCCTACACCATTGCTTTATTCTCAAATATTTGACCTGAGGACCATGACGCTGGCCGGTGTGTATCTTGACACTGTGTCTATATGTGTCCATTCCCACTATCATGACAGAGCCAAGCCCCTGAAGGCCATGCTACCACAGTGCCATACGCTCTGAGTCACAATATGTGACTAGTGCACAGGGGACTCCCAGAGAGCAGAGAAACTCTCCAAAGCCCGAGAAACATGCAGTGAGAAGAAATCTGGGAAGGGGGAGGTCAGACAGAAGGCAGTCTGCACGGAGCCCTGAGCCTCCCGCAAGGTGTGAGAACCAGCGTTCCCTCCTTAAACCCCAACCTTTGAAGAAGGCCAAACCAACCTGCTGCAATCTGGAAGAAACTTGTGGAACCTTCTGGAGTAAAATACCTTTATTCTTGACCTCAGGTCTCCCACAGACCATGAAAAATCAGAGTCAAAGAACTCTAAACAACAGAGGGGAAAAAAAGGATGAGTTGAGGAGAAGAACCATTAGATGTCTCTGCAAACTAGCCACAATGTGACATGGAGAGATGGGAAGACAGAAAATGTGAAAGAGGGGTTGAGACCTGGAGGCGGAAAGGGTACAGTCAAATACACTGGCAACCTAGTCTCCAGGAGACGAGGAGAGCAGAGAAGAGGTGGTATTCAAGCCAATAAAACAATAAACGAGTTTCTGGAACTGACCAGGCCTGCAAGTCCTAGAGCACTGGAGCCTCCGCCTGCCTACACTGCACCATGAACCTCTCTCTGTGAGTCGGCACCCAGACTCATCATAGCAAAGCTGCAGAGTGGCCAGACTCAAAAAGGAGTGTGTAAGGAAGATAAAAGAATAAAAGCTAAACGTCCTGCAAAGAAAATGACTGGCCTGTCAATGAACGCTGCTACAGAACCCAGAAAACTGTGCAAGGGCTTCAAAGCAGAAAAAGCGAACCCTGGGCGCTACACACAATGTGCAACTCCCTTTAAGAATGAATGGGAAAGCCGGGCGGTGGTGGTGCACGCCTTTAGTCCCAGCACTGGGGAGGCAGAGGCAGGTGGATCTCTGTGAGTTCAAGACCAGCCTGGTCTACAAGAGCTAGTTCCAGGACAGCCTCCAAAGCCACAGAGAAACCCTGTCTCGAAAAAAAGGAAAGAAAGAAAGAAAGAAAGAAGAAAGAAAGGAAGAAAGGAAGAAAAAAGAAAAAAGAATGAGTGGGAGACAAGATTTTGAAATAAGCATTATGTATGGACAAGAAAATGAGCAATCTGAGGAGGTGCGAGGCTTAAGCTTCCTCCTGAACACATTCCAGGAATTCTTTTATGTGAAAAACAAATTTAATAGGAGGTTAGCGTTTGCGGAGTTGAGTGACAAAGACAGGCTTTCATATTCCCTGACTCTGGGAACTCAGGAAACAGCTGAGTGATGGGTGGTTTAGAATGTCAGAGAGCAGCAGTCATCAGGGGCTCCCCACTCTCAATCACTTCCAGCATTGTCTGCCTCTGAGACTGTTCTTCAGAGGCGAAATGTTTTTCCAAGCCATATTGTGTAGCTTCCACGTGCTCAGGCTGACTAATGTGTTAGCCACAGGTTACAACATGAGAGGCTCGAGACAACAGTCTCCATCTTCGCTTAACAGCCTCGCTTCCCCAGTCCCATGGCCCGGACTTACTCTCCCACGGAAACCTCTAATTTGATTTTTGTTGTTAATCTCCACATTCACCATAGCTCTCTCATCCTTTTCCTAGACTGTCTTGTCAGCTGGTCAGATAATGTGTGAGCCCAGCTGCCAAGAGAGCCAAAAATAGGAAGCCCAGGAAGAAGACGAAAGAGGAGCTGGAGCAGAATGAGCAAAGCTATGCTTTCCATACGGGAGGAAAACATGGGCCAGGCCAGCCGGGGTTACATAGTGAACTCCAGGCCATCCAGGGATGCACAGTGAAAGTTTGTCTCCAATAGGTAGGTAGGTAGGTAGGTAGGTATAAAGATGGATAAGATAGATAGGTAGGTAGATAAATAGATACACACTCACACAAAAGAGGAGCTGGAGCAGAATGAGCAAAGCTATGCTTTCCATACAGGAGGAAAACATGGGCCAGCCCAAGACCCAAGAATCTGAATCGGCATGGCAAGCCTTGGCTTGAGGATAAATGGAGCAGTGCATGACTATAACTGATGACAATTGCAATGGCTGGGAGGGTGGTAACCCCATGTGGCTTCTAGCCACATAGTGACAAGTGACAAACACGAAGGACAGACTGGACAGAGTCCAGGGTCTTGACTACGCAGAGCCCCAAATCCGCAATTGCCCTGCCAACCAGAGAACTGAGGGCTGAAAGAAAATGTAGAATCTTCTAGATCACTGTCACTTGTGAAGTGGTTTTTTTGTTGTTGTTGTTGTTTTGTTCTGTTTTGTACTTTCTGATGTTTCTGGGATTCTGTGTTTATCCATGCAAAGAAAGCTGTATTTATTTTAGTTGGTGGACTGAAAACACCATGATGGGACTCGGGAGAACCGGGTACAATACTTGACTATTACAGACCACTGAGCTTTGAAATATTCACTTTTTGATTCCTGACTAATTCGTGCGTGTAGAGGGCTTGGAAAGGTCTAGAAAAGGAGTCTTTGGTGATCAGGCTCTACCATTGGCATCACAATTCTGTGTAGTGACCACTGGGATGGAAACATGGCATTAACAGGTTGTGCTACAAGGTCCCTGAGTCTTGAGGTTGTGAGGACCCTAATTGTGTTAAGTTTGGTATAGGGGAGGCTTTGGATCTGTGTGTGTGTGTGTGTGTGTGTGTGTGTGTGTGTGTGTGTGTGTGTATCTATCTACCTACTTACCTACCTACCTTTCTATCTTATCCATCTTTATACCTACCTACCTACCTATTGGAGACAAACTTTCACTGTGCATCCCTGGGTGGCCTGGAGTTCATTATGTAGACCCGGCTGGCCTGGATCTCCCAGATATCTGTCTCTGCCTCCTAAGTAGCTGGTACAACAGGCATGCATCATAGGTATCAGCTCATGTTTACATATTTTTTAAATATTTGACTATTTTGCAATCATGTTCTATGTTGGACATTCTGTTGTAAATCAATAGACAAAGATATGGAAATATAAAAATATATGTAATTTATTATACATAAATTATTAAATATATTTGTGTGCCGGGCGGTGGTGGTGCACGCCTTTAATCCCAGCACTTGAGGGGCAGAGGCAGGCGGATCTCTGTGAGTTCGAGGCCGGGCTGGACCGACAGCCTCCAAAACAATACAGAGAAAACCCTGTCTAGTAAAACCAAATATATATATACATATATTTGTGGAAATGTATAATTAGTAAATATGTGAGTCAGAAGAAGAGGCAGAACCCCCATAGTGGTTTCTACAAGTGAATTCTGAAGAGTGGTTACCAGGGATTAACGACATCAGAAATCGGTCAGAGAGACAGAAGGGAGCATGAGGAGGAGCATCAGAAGAGCACAGGGGAAAGAGCAGCTCACACCCTCAGCTCCAGAGCCCAAACAGAGCATTCAAGAGGGAGGCCATCTTGTCCAGGCCTCATGGGTAAAGAAGGTCATGAGGGTTGACCTCTCCCTAAACCCACTCTCTGGAGTACCGAGGCAACTATCTGCTGAGAGCTGTGCAGGGGTGCCAGGGAAGCTGGCCAAGGGGAGGCACCCTCTCTTGGCAAGCTCTTGCAAAGCCTGCAGGGATCCAACAGAGGTCATTACTGGTGGGTGCCAGGGAGGCTGCCCACAGGAAGGCATCCTGTGCTGTTGGCACCGTGAAAACCTACAAGGTAGCCCTAGACTAGAGAGAGAAGCGCCCCTCTCCCACTGTCTCTCCAGAGTCACTCAGACAAAGCTCAACCCATGCAGGTTATCAAAGGAGAACTGTTTAAAGGGACCCGACCTTGCCCCAGAGCAGCTACTGGATCTGCAACAAAGATAACAAACTCACGACTGCCCCTAATGGGTAGCTTAGGGCATTGGGACATATTTATCAGGACAAACTGCAAGGTAAGAGGACATTCGAGCCCCTACAGCCCC